AACTGACAGATGCAGTCGGAATTATTGAATTATACAATTTTTAGTTGTATAATTTCTCGGATTGGGACATTCGTTGGTCAGGGCAAAAGTCTCATAGTTTTTGGACACCCAAGAAGAACATCCCGCATGCTAATCATCTAGAACTACCGGCAGTTTTCTTCTGTTGTGAATGCTTTGCTCCCGACTTGATGGGGTGTCGAATATTATACCCCAGTGATAATGCGACAACTATATCCTTCATCAATAGAATGGGGACCTTCTAGTTTCCACGTCTGGACCAGGTTCCGAGAGAGCTATGGCAGTTGTGTAAAGAGAGAAACCTAACTGCCCTCGAATCAAATATAAAATCTAGGAATAATACTGATACAGATGAGCTTTTGCGTCAGTGGGACGTGGAAACGGAGTGGGAGCTACACCTGTCACCGTCCTGATTTTGGTTCATGTGTTCGGTGTCCCTAAAATTTCGCTTCTAGAAGTAACAGAAAAATCTGATGGAGGGACCCAGGACGCCGCTCCCACTAATTCTGAAGCTTACCCTCGTTGTGGTCACTGGAAATCTGTCATTCCGGTCAGCATCTACAATCCATCATGTTATTGTTTTCCGAAGATTACGTTAGGACCAGGACCCTTCAGGACCAGGACCAGGAACAATATATAGGTAAGAGGACTTGAAACTCTTGATTTTTCGAAAACAAGAGTTTCAAGAGAACCTAGCAGACCGTCTATCGATGATCGCTTAACGACATCGATAGAATGTGCGGGGTAAAGGGAACCAACCCGGCGTTCCCAGAGACTGAAACACATGAGGAGACGTTGTAGCAGACCGCAGGTCACGCACAACACATGGCCTACCGAGACGCTGATGAGTCGGGCCACGCGGAGGTTAGGGTTTAGTGGGCATTAGGTGGTCTCCTCAAGACAACCTGGAGTCCCACACACGCCGTAGCTCGGGCTATGGTATGGTGCGTAAACGCATTCCCCCCTCACCAAAAAAAAAAAAAAGCAAAGGAGCCGCCGGGGTGTGCCGGCGGGTTACGCGGCTTGCCGGCGTCACTTCGTTCCTGGCATTCGAGCGGTAGTGTTGTGCGGTTTGTGTGTTTAAACAAATTAAAATGTCGTTTAATTGGGACGACGAAGCTGTGCTGCTCTTAATTGAAAAATTTCATGAAAATGATATATTATGGAATCCCAGAAATGCAGACTATAACAATAGGAACAAACGAATGGACGCATTGAACATAATTGCAAGTGTATTTGACATTGATAAAGGCAAAGTAGAGAGGAAGTTAAAAAATGTAACCTCTCATTATTTTCGGGAAAAAAAGAAGTTAGAACAGTTGCACAAATCTGGTGCAGGCATAGACGATGTATAGAAACCCAAAAAACAAGCTATTGCGCAAACGCTGACACCCTACATCATCTTTTTTATACTCTTCTATCATTACAGTACCGTTCCGCCATTTTCTATTTTGTAAACTTGGGTGCAACCAAAACCTTCTCGTCCTTTTGTATTTTTTTCTTATTAAAATAAAAATTACAACTGCGGCGGCTGTGCTGATGATTTCCTTATTCATTTTAACCAACCAACCATAAAATATGCACTTCACTAGCGTTCTATGTGACTGTCACAACCGGAATGATGCTTGGCGGCTTTGCGCGGCTTGTATTGCCGACGGCAATGCCGCTCGGCATAAACCCGGCGGCATTGCCGCCGGCACTGTGTGTAGTAGCTTTTAGATTTCAATTTTGAGATAGCTTTTCTTAGATTGTTGATGATAATTATCCTAAATTGCTTCATTGATGAATTCTGACATACTTGTAATGGACATAAGTTTGGATCACCATCATCAATCGTCTTCACTATTTGATTTACCCTTTCTATAAAATAAGTGTTCATTCTTTCTGCTATAATTAATTTGTCTGTCACTACCCCATCTTCGAAACGCAATTTAGATAATTCAGTCTTTCTATTAGGAGAAACAATATTCTTTAATGTTTTCCACATCATTTTAGAATTATTTTTATTGCTATCGATCTTCTTATCATAGTATTTTTTCTTTTCTCTCCTGAGAACTGCTACACACTCATTTCTTGATTTTGTATATTGTTTCCAATCATTTTCACTTTGGGTTATTGAACATTTTCTGTAGTCGTTATCGCGTTTTAATTTAGACTCTTTGAATATCTGTGAAAACCAGGGTGTTGGGTTCACTCTTTCATATATTATTTTTTTGACCATAGCTTCACTAATATATTTATCCATATTATTCATAATTTGTTCGAAGTAGTTATCAGCATTATCGATAATTTCAGGTATATTGTGTTGTAAAACTGTTTCTCGTAATTTTGTAAATTCAATGACTAATTTCTTTCGTTTTTTTTTCATTGAACATATTTTGCACTTCGAAATATATCCATGAGTGATCACTTACCTTTGGGGTATGCTTAACTTGAACAATTAGATCTTGTTCATTAGTTATGAGCAAATCTATTTTTGTTTTCGAAAAGTTCGTAATCCTTGTATAGTCATTTATTTTCTGCCATAATCCATGGAAGTTTAGTACTTGATTAAATTTTGTAACATAGAAATCTTAGAAATCTTTACTCTCAAAATTTATATTGAAGCCTCCTAAATGTACATTTGTGCAATTCCTGTAATAATGTTTTTCACATATACTTTCAAAAAATTCAATAAATCGATTGACGCTTCCACTTGGAGATCGGTAATAAATATACAGATTGTAATTTTTTTGTATCCTTATTTCCAGATTGATGTACCACCACTGATATTCAACAATTTCAATGTTCTGTCCTTTGACTTCAATGCTATATAGTGTATATATCAATATACCACCTGTATGCTTCGAAACAGAATTTACTCTTACAACTTGATAGCCGTGAATATCGATCTCTTCCTCCTCAATATCTTCTGTTACATGTGTTTCTGTTAAACAAAGTATTAATGGTTTCTCTATCATCAAGAAATTTGAAACCTCATCTTTATGTGACAAAAATCCTTGAATGTTTAAGTGGTATATATAGCTTTCAGCTTGTTTTGTTTGTAATTGCTACGATCTGTCTCCATAGCAAGCTTCGTTTTTTGATTGCTCATATTCCATTTGTATTATTCTACATATTTTGCTGCTTATAATATTGTTTCTTTCTTTCAAGTCTCTAATCAGCTCTTCTTTATCGCATTCCTCACTGAAGCCTACAACTTTAATCATTGGGGACTTCCTATGCCCAACACTCACTTTATAACTGTGTCCTACATGTTTTTCTACTTCTAACTTCAATTTTGTGATTTCTTCAACATTACTACATTCACCGCCCCATCTCTCTGATCGCTAATTTTTTTTATGGAGACATTCATTTTTGCAGGATTTATATATTTGCTGAGTACCTTCTTTATGTTTAAACAGTTTTAACTTTTATCGTTTGGTTTTATTGTAACTGTCTTTTCTGGTTGTACTGTAGAAGTAACCAAATTTCTATTAATGTTTGTATCTTTGACTATTACTCGGTGTTCTGCATGTATTTCTGTTTTATTCGTGTCTGATAGAGTAGGAACTTCAGTAACGTCAGTGTCTTTATCTAGATTTAATTCTTTTTCTTTGCTGTATTTCACAGCATTTGCAAATGATTTAGATCCATTTTTTTTTTAGTAGCTTTAGGACTAAGAATAATGAACATTTCATTTCATTTAATTTGAGTTGTTACAATGGAAATGTACATTTAGTTGACACAAACAGTGTGTACAATTTGTATAATTGTGTACAACCTATCGTTTACTATTGCAGAGCATTAGTAGTATGTTGTTGCAACTCACTTTGAACATCTACAAGTACTATTTACTTCGACGAGACCGGAACATAATTGCATGATCAAACAAACTTACCGGCAAGCGATGTTCGATCCTAATCATGTGAAGGTCTCATCGAAGTGAATGGGACATCAATATTGATATTTTTACAATGAGATGTAACACTGCCCATTTTAACACACATTTTGCGATATGTCATGAAGGACTCAACCCAGCCAATTATTGGATACCGAAGTCCATATTCTTCTATTTTTTTTAATAAAATAGTTATTTGCATGCGATCAAATGCCTTACTCAGGTCGAAATATATTGTTAGTATACATTTATATTTAGTTGGTCTAAATCAATGTTGCTTACTAGTTAATATATTGTAAGGATTTGCAAAATTATGCATTCGATTGTAGAAAATTTTTCAAAGAGCTTAGAAAAGCTAGACTAAGCTGTTACTAGACAATTAGAATATAAATGAGGCTCGGAGATTAATAAGACGGGTAAAACCGTTATGAATGGTCAAAAGGCATTTGTGATGTTTTTCAATTTTAAGGCGTCACTACTTATTTTATCAAAAACTGAGGAAACCGGCACGAGGAGAACATGTTCATTTCTGATGCTTGCAGCGTACTTCATGTAAAAAGGGAATACTTCCAGAATCAATGCGGATGAGAGATGAACGAAATGATAAAATTCCAGCAGGAATGAACGACAATTAGTTTAGTATGCTACTTCTCCATGACGATTTTTATTTCGGCGTTTTTTGCGTCAAGTTGAAAAATCCCTTCATGTATTGATTGGTATATAATTGTTAGATCATGTACCGATACTTCGTCAATAATTCATGAAAATAACAAAAAATAGTTGAATAGAGTCTTGCGATGACGCAAATCCGTGTCGAACCAAGAACTAGCAATCAAATATTTCGCAAGGGAAGATGGAAGGGCTTGTTTTCTTCCAAAACATGAAATAACTGACACACATGGAAGTTAGAGAGGAAAGATGGTCAAATGACAAGTGCGTAATGTCAGTTTTATTTATTTTTTTAGTCCTATTAGGGGAAAGCATGCCAGGATTGAACGACATTAATAAACGCTCGTGTATAGGCTGTAAATCTCATGAAACGTCTGACCAAAAAAACATTGCATGGATAGACATAAATACAAATATTTCAGATAATACTCACCTCATCCGTTAGCAACTTCTCAGCAGTTTCAATTATCCTGTTGATAACATCCTCATCTCCAACAGGAATGTGCAGTAAAGTTAACATTTTTGTTAAATAACCCAAATGGGCCGGATTCATATACCTTCCAACTTCAACAAGGATTGCTCGGGATAGCTTTAGGTGTGGATCAGTAGCTTCCTGAAACCGACAGTGATGGTTATAAAATGTTTATCAAACTAGACTATCAATATTAACTATCATAAAATATAATCCTGTAAAATACAGGTGAATATGATTTTCGAGAATTAACATAGGTAAAAATAGATTACAATTTCATAATACACACAATGTACGTTATAAAACTGGGTTATGATTACCGAATTCTCCAAAATGTTAATGGATTTATTCAAAGTCTAATGCTTTCATCAATCAGACTTCAAATGAGATCAAAATGTTTTCTTACTTTTTCATTTGCAGAACTCGTGATGACCGCTAGGTAATTCAAGAGGTTGTCCGTATCAATTTCATTCAATGGATCAGCTTTGGGTACATGGGCAACATTCCTTAATATAGGAAGTACTGCTTTAGCTACTATTTCTTTCGCGCCTTTAACTGTACTGACGTACTTCACAATCAATATACCAAGTGCCTGCTGTACTTGATTGGTAGATTTTGCTAAAAAAAAGTATTGTCGTGTGGACAACTTTGTTCAATAGAGTATACAGGGTGATTTACAATTAGAAGTAACATCTTCTACACTCCTCTGATTATCATCGATGAGTATTGACGATTATTTTATGTTGGTGTTGACTCAAAAACTGGAGTTAGGCAGCACAGCAAAAAATGCTTTTATTAGATACGATATTAAAATATGTCTCAAACATGTTCTGTATGGTATACGACGGCTACTGCTGTTATTGTTGTTGAAAATTTGTTTAGCATTAATGGTACAATGTCAATTTTGTATAATGATTCGGTTATATATTTTTCTTTAATCCATTTACATTCTTGTCTATTAAAATTAAAATTACGTCACTATGCATTTTGATAATTCATAACGTGATTCTTTAATTTCACCTTAAACATTTTTAAATTCGAACTCAGTTTAATATCATTATTCAATTTATTAAATTCAACTACTCCCTTTTGAAATATAGATTTACTAGTTATGCTACTATTACAATTTTGCAGATGAAAATCTATACTGCCTCTAGTTTCGTAGTTATGATAATGACTATTTAATTTTGTGAAGTTCTCTAAATGTGGTGGTAATAAATGATTTTTTAATTTGAATATGAAAACGAGAACTAAATAATATATGAAATTTTTCACATCCAACGACTGTGGTTCTTCTAACATAGACTTAATCCTAGCATATTTTTTTTTATTTAAATTGATACTCATAGTTTTACTTTGTAGAATTTGTAGTTTTGAAAATATGTTTTCATTTGCTGTAAACAAGATGGTTCAACAATATAAAAAATGGGGAAGAATTATAGTGTTATACACAATTTTTTTGGAATAGATATTAAGATTATGAGAAACTCTATAGAAGTAATTCATTTTTTTACGGTATTTTTGAAATCATGTATTCATAATGTTCGTGAAACAGTAGCTTACTATCCACATATATACCAAGATGTTTAAATGACTCGACTACTTCAATTTTTTCATCATTAATCATGAGCCTAATTGAATTGTCACCTATACGTAAATGTTTCCCTATTGACATATGTACATTTTGTTTTATTAGTGTTTAATTTAAGTCTATTGACATTTAACCAATTCATAATTTTTTCAATATCACTTGATAACAGTTCTAAAGCAGTGTCCAAATGCTTATGTGCTATATATATATATATATATATATATATACGTGAGCAGTAGTCATTGCCAAAGCCAACGACCAGTTGGGCACAAAATACAATTAATTGTTAATTGGGAAATTGGCAAATTTTTAGGCTTAAGTTGACTCTTTTGACGATAAAATTAAGCTTTCGGCATTCTCTATGGAGCCTTCATCAGGATTCTGAAAACACAATTGTGATGCTAGCAAAGAAAACAGGACAGATTTAAATTGTCAAACAACTTACTCGTCGTTGAGGTTGCAGCCACAAGGTGTTTCAAAACGACCGTAGAGAAGATAGAACACGTAATAAGTATAAAAACAAAAAGACGGAGACATTATCAACAAGCCCAATGTCTCCGTCTTTTTGTTTTTATACTTATTACGTGTTCTATCTTCTCTACGTTCGTTTTGAAACACCTCGTGGCTGCAGATATTTGAATTTTGCAGTGTTCTAAAATGTCAGAGATATCATTTATATAAATAATAAATAGTAACAGCCCTAATTTACTCCCCTGTGGCACCCCTACTGATATATTTTGAACACTTGACATAACATTTTCAACTTTAGTTTTATGACTTCTATTAATGGAGCATTAAAAACGTACAGTGCAAAAGTTTTAAAAGAAATAAGTATTATAAATTGTAAATCATCCTGTATATTGGTCTCACTAATTCCTTCGGGAAATTAGGGACAAGGAATATGGTAAAGTTTAGGACTCCAGAAATATGTGTACCATATAAACATTCAACATGCTTCAACGAAAGAACTTGAGTCTAAGATGCCTTGAAAGGAAATACGTTGACTAAATATTGTATTATTTCTAATGAGGCTCTGTCGCGATACCGATGGATGGGAAAAAACTATCAAATGCTGACTCCCACTGTTTACACAATCTTTAATCATCGCGTTTTTTCTACTAATGAAAATTTGTGTCTAGACTGTCATAGACAATGGAGATCCGAGATATAAAATTCGATAAAACATTGACATTGTATTCGATATAATAAATGCGGTTGAACTTGAAGATCTTTCTGGAGGGAACGAGGGGAGTTGAACCAGAACGAAATTATAAATAATGGAGATACCTGTTGCTGGGCTGTACCACTTCAAAATGATCCTCATGATGAATGGTGGATTAACAGGGAAATTGTTCAAAATCAACCTGTTCAATGCCAAACTAGTATACTGGAAAATTTCGACATCCTGAAAAATCGTCATCATTTTAAAAGGGTATACAATGAAATGTTCAATAGCGATACAATGATACAATATATACACATACAGCACTTCCCCCTCCCCCTACTTATTTTTTGAAGCTCACTGGTCCGCAATTTAAAAAGATAATAAATTTATACTACAGGATTATAAAGTACTGATTGAAGGCTTCAAAAAGGGGTATCACAGGACCAGGAAACTTAGTGGTCACAGTTTTGTACAAGTTCAAGTTAAACTTACTTCTTCGTCCATCAGGTCCAGCAGAATATCGGTGATGTTTTCAAAATGAAACTTGCTGGGATCAGCGATACTTTCTTCCAGTTCATTGTCATATAAACGTCTTGTGTTTGAACTTTGCGTAGCGTTCGCATTTTCGTTGAACCCACCAAATATCTGAGCTCCATGTAAATAATATAGATCAGCTACAGCTTTTATGGATACCTTCAGCGCAAATTTGTTGTAGTTTGGAACCACACGACAGGTCATCAGCTGAAAAACTGACAATTTCAGAAAAAAAAAGGAATTCGAAAGGTGCACACTCTATAAGAAGGAAAACGGCGAGAATGGAAACAAAACTTTCCCGCTAGATTCTGTTAAACATAATCAAATGACAGTCGGCACGCTGGAGTAATGCGAAAGGAAGCTATGTGCCACTTTCAATACGTGCAGATGACAAATGTCGCCGCGGTACCCTTCGCATCGCTTATCCTCAATGTGTGTGCACGTTGATGCTCCCGTACAATTGTAGCGATCCAGACAATTCTGGCCAAAAGCAGCTGGCGACTGCAACCTGACATAAACCCGACTCGGCCCACACGTATTCAAACGTTCTCACCAAAGAGACAACAACGCGACCTGTTGCTCAACAGTTCTAAGCAATGCCGTCTGTTTGCAGCTGCCCACGAGTTGATGATATATACATCTGTCAATATCGTTGTGAGACAGTTAACAATGTAACTCCTCAGACTTATCCTGTGGTTTTCATGTTCACATCACTCCATATATACATACATTATATACATGAGAAAACACAATATACTTGGGAAGTCGACAAAATATAGCGTAGTATATTCTCACTTAACTGGTTATTGGAGACAATTACTACCCCCTACGTATATATACACCTATATATATGTATATAGGGTGTTTCAAATTCACCATTGGGATCTCGCAAACTTTGAGATACGAAGTCAGTTAAACGGGAGCAAAGTTGTGTATCTAGGTAATCAACAAAATGCTGCTTACAAAGTTTCGAAATTCAAAGCACTTCCGGAGAGAGACAGAAAAAACAATTTCCCAACAATGTATCCCTGGCTTTATTTGTAGTGCGATTTAAAAATAAATTACTAGTCATTTTTTCCCCTTTACAAGGTAGGTATGATTAGAATTTCAGTATGACGTTTCATCTCTTGTACTCCAGTTTCAACTTTATTTTTTCTTACGGACCTCATATTGGATTTTTGCACAGATGAATAGCAGTTTTAATCCTGATTCCAGAAATGTATAATACGTCATATATGGTCATTGATAAACCTTAGTTGTTCCAGAAAAACAGAAGTTCTTAGGTAGGTCCTGAAATTATTAGATTTCATTTGTTTCGTATACCTAACCAGACCTCAAATTGAATATAGCAAATGAATCGAGAAGTGAACAATGTACAGAAAAGAGTCAGGCTTTGCCTTCAAAATACCTGACAGCATTTTGGACATCTGCTACGATTTACCTTTGCTTATTTATTATTATTGTCATTACATCAATAAAATTTTCATTTAATGTTCAGGATTCACTATTCCTTTTTATTTTCTTATAATTTTCATCCAACAACAAATTCATGGCCAACTAAGGAAATAATCACTGAATTTAGGACTAAAAAGTTCTTTTAAATGTACGAAATTCCAATATAGTCGGTATGAAAAAACAAAGTTGGTGATGGAAGTCGAAAGATTAAGGGCCGTATTGTCAGTCGTTCCTACAATTGTAGGACGCCTTTATGACCTTTATTTTCATGACGTTCTAATCTTCCGTCAGCGCTTTATTTTGAGGTTATGCTACAAATATCTATTTCCATCAAATTGTTCATACTTTTGAATTACATCATCTGTTATAGAGCCTGAAATTTCCTACAATTCAAGGTGTAAACATAGCCCGATAATATGAGAGCGCTGACGCTGACACGGAACAGTAGAAATCTAGAAAAATCACAGCCTTCCTGAAGGAGAAAAAAGGCTATGAAAATCAAGGAGGCTACAAAGGCGTCCTACAATTGTAGGAACGTCTGACGTTACGGCTCTAAATCTCGAATTGAAAATCTGACTACGTCGTCTTGTACAGGAGGTTAAGTAACAATGACAACATGCAATTTTTTTAAAATCCCATCTCAAATAAAGAAGGAAAAAATAAATATACGATTATATACGAATATACGATTTTTTCTTTGATGAATGATTTTTTTTGTTGCGTTCTGAAGCGTTAGCGACGGCATCGTGAACATTCGACACTCCTGGAGATGACATCTAGACGGATTCCGAGAAGACGCTTCTGGAAATCATCGAGTGAAAATAAATACCGACCAGAGACAGCAAAAAAGCGCAGAATGAGGTAGTCCAATTGACATGGTTATGAATTTGTCATAAATTAGTAGCAAGTATTATAAATCATAAAAGTAACAAATTCGACTTTGAACAATAAAACGGATTTTTTGTAACAATATTTTTGGATGAGGTCAAGGTCAGGTCCTTATTAATTTTGGAAAAAGTAGTTCAATGGTAACCTTAGATACGACCTTGATCATCACCTTCCAGGTTATTTCAAGGACACCTTTTTGGTACAGGCAATCCAACGAACAGTAAATCGTACATCCGAATATGCATTAAAAGGCCACCTTTGAATATGCCTAGAAGTTTAGCAGAATTACTGACGAAATAATTATCAAGGGCAGGCCCTTAGTAATAAAAAGGAATTTACGGCTGACTATAATCTAACTGAGAACCCCTCTTAAGACACCGGCAATGGTAAATTTACCCATGTAAGGCACTAGGACAATATCGAAATCCTTGTTAAAAATTACGAAAAATGTAACCTTGATATCATCCATTGATAATTCAATGACTCTTCCCTATCCTCACATATTTGACCTTTGGAGATGACCTTGATCTTAGAGCTTAATACATATGCGGAAGTAGAATTTTCCGTTGTTTCGATTGGCGGTTTCAAAAACAAGTTATCCATTTAGAAAAACAAAAGTTAACGTTCAAGTAACCTAAAAGGTGAAACTCAATATCAAAAATAAGGTCACCATTGAACTCCTTTCCGTTACTTTTGTTACACTCAGTATAGTCAGAAGCTTTATCTACAACCTCAAAACAAAGATGTCAGTTGTTTAGCAGGTGCTTCAGTGGGAACGCAAAAGCAACGCAACCGAAAGCCCAAATCGATTTGAAGTCGTGTCGTCATCAGGTTACTCTTGGTGAGAACAGTGGTCGTGTGGATCCACATCCATACGTAATCAATGATCTATTGTTACTCACATGAATCTTACTAACCAATTCTGAGAGGTTGCTAAAAGGCACGTGCATGTTGTGTTACACCCATAAGCATCCTGAAAATAACTTACCGGAATACAAAGAATTTTGACGTATTCTTCCGCTAGGTCTGGACTTAAACTGGCAAAAAGTGCAAGGCACTGCAAAACTCTCCAGTTAATATCTATAACAGTGCTGTCAAGTAATGGCAATAAGAATTCATTTTTAACAAATTCCAATGCAGTAGAAATGCTTCTAACAGTCGGTAGTTCTAGCAATGCTATTAGGAGTTCCAGGCAGTGGGATACTGTTTTTGGATCGTCTTTGACAGTCTTCACCTGTTGCTGTTGAGAGAAAAGAAAAAATAAACATACAGTAGGGATGATGAAATTAAATTAAAAGTTATATTAAATGTCTTTAACATACGAACCACTTTGACTTGAGGCACTGTTCTCGATTCTATCAAATGAGCCAATTCTTCTCGGATTCTTTGAGCCTGTTCTTTCAGTTGTTCTGCTTTGAGGAAATCTCTTTTATGAGCAGCGTCTTCCATTTCTTCGTCCAACGTATTCAGTTTCACTTTGAGTGTAGCAACTTGGAAATCATGATTGTCATATTTGGTAGGTGCCTACAAGTTAACAGAAAAGTGGTCAAAGATTTGAATAACACAAACAATATATGAGTAAACACTCACCGGTGCTGCAATCTCTTCTTCCACTTCAATTAGCGGCTCTGTGATGTCAGATATGAGGCAGCAGACAGCTGGGATAATATCCTCTGATTTTGGATAAAGTTCACTGGCAATTTTTAATAACTTTCTCTTGATGCGTAAATGATTTTTTTCATCTGTTAATAGCTTCATTACCATTTGATGTAAAGTTTTACGACCAACCTATCAAATCATACAATAATTTAAAATATGTGACATTAGGTACTTTGGTATGGGAACTCTACAAACAAAAAACAAACAAAACATGCCGATTCACTAAGATGTGTCAGGTAGGTATTGAAAAAAGTTTGATGTGTGATAAAACTGTAGTGCTTTGTGTTCGTAATTTTGCAGTGCTCACCTCATCACTTAAATCATATCCTTCTGCTATCTCTAAAAGGCTGTACAAAATATGCTGGTATTCTAGGTACTCCCAGTCTTCCATACCTTTTCCTTTAGCGCTATCAATTGTCCTAAGGAAATTAAATCATACAATAACATGCTAAGTATATTCAACTTTCTTTTACCTTTGGATATAATTACAAAATGGTGTTAGCTCTGGTAAAATGTCCTCTGAGTCTATGTTTAAATCACCGCCACACTTCCTCACGTGTTGAACTAACAGATCCCATAATAAAATTACTTGTCCAACCATTTTTTCCTGGGGAATTAGTTTGTCCTCATTCAAAGGTAGTGAAGAGATGACATCTCCGATTGGACGAATCCTGTAACAGAGACAAATTTATAAACTCGTATTTTATATAAAAGTTTTAAGACCCATAGACTAATAATATATATATTATCTTGGGATTCCCCATGAGTTCTGCCAATAAACTATGTTGTATTCGGGATCTAAGTACTCGATTTACCCAGGAAACAAGTTTTCATTCAGATCAATGATGGTTTCTGAAAACTTTCCCTTAGGAACCTAAATGTGCATGTAAGCCGAGTTTTAGGTCGTGCAAATAATTCAGATTTCAAGTTGATCGCATTCATGAAATTTGACAGTTTTGTTCAGAGCTCACCTATTTTCAAATATTTAACTTGAAAATGTTTATATGAGCACCCCTACAACAAACTAAGATGCAAAACATCATATGAAAAGTATAGTGTTGCTCCACTGTGCTTACATTGAAGTATCATTATAGTTGTGTATTGATTTGTGAAAGAGTTTGTATTTAATGTGAGCGCAGAAGAGCAACGCTTTTATTTATATGTTTTGTATCTTGTTTTATAATAAAGTTAAAGTAGAAAGTGTTGCTAGAATGCGCTCATATAAAAATACTAAGTTAAGTATTAGGGTCTTGGAGAATTTCAGACAAGAATGCCAAAATTGTGAACATTCAACTTTTAAAGATCAAACAAGTACTAAAGTAAATGGGAAATGATGAAACTTTATAATACGTATATCCTAAAATATTTAAATGCAAAATTTTAAAGATGCGACCAACTTAAAACTTGAGTTAGTTTCAGAGCTTATAGACCCTCATCTTTTCTATTTTCGTCTCCCGTTGTTACAATCGAAAGAAACTTGGCGTGAGTTGTGACCGAAGTGTTGTGGGGAAATTTCTAGATACAACATGTATCACGCATGTCCCACCATCGGTGCTAACCTCAAATTCACCTAAGAAACGAGATTTTATTTAGATCACAAATACGCAGAGGTTTTTGAATATTTTCTCGTAGAAAAAACAAAATATAAGGTTTTGAAAGGGAAAAATTTCAATTATTTTTTTCTGTAATTACAAGCAAATGAAACCAGATACTCGTCGGTAATTTGAGGCGATGATTATGAATATGTTATAGACCGAAAAATACGCGATTAATTGAGAACGTCCTCAGTTCTGGCAGGGCCTAGCAGTCGATTATAATCGCCATTCCTGATATTACGGAAATGTACTCGCTTCCCATAATCATTAATAAAAACTAGAGAAAATAACATAACCTGCTGAGCAATCTAAGAAATAATATATGAATAGAATTATGTACACATATTATTAGCAAATCTTAAAAAGATGACTGTCGTATCATTGTTCGTTTTAGAAACAGTAACTCTTATTTGTAAAAATAAATCTAAATTTGAAACATTGAATATAGGTTACAATATTAGTCGAAAACAAGATCTTAAATTAGTAGTACCTAAAACATCACTTGTCAAAGACTCGACAAATTCAACAATTTATAATGGTCTAAAAATTTACATCTGTCTCCCTGATGCTATCAAAGGAATTAACAATTTAAAGATATTCCGCTGTGACCTTACAAACATTTTAATATTTGACCATATTATACCTTGTGTGAGTTCTACAAATCACTCACTTACAATCCATTTATGTAATTATATTTTAGTTTTAAGTTAGCTTTGTTATTAAGAATGATTGTGTTCTTCAGACTACAAAGCATATTTATCTATCTACAGGATGTTTCAAATTCGACCCTCACCATTGGGATCTCGGAAACAGTAACAGATACGAAGTGCAAAATTGCGTATTTAGGTAATCAACAAAATGCCGCTCAAAAAGTTTCGGAACTTCCGGAAAGAGATAGAGAAACCGAACTTTCCCAAAATCGTTTTAATTTTCTTCTGATTTTAATTGTAGTGGGATTTCAAAATAAATTGCACTTCAACATTGGCACTTTTTCTCCTCTATAAGATGGCATAATTAGAATTCCAATATGATGTTTCGTCCCTTGTCCTCTAGCATAAACGTTAGTTTTTCTTATCACGATCAATAAAATTTTAATGTTGTGTTCCAACAACAAATTCATGAACAACCAAGGAAATACATCACTAAATTTAGGACTGGAAAGTCTATTTAAATATGCAAAATTCCAATATAGCCTCCCTAAAAACAAAGTTGGTGATGGAAGTCAAAAGAAAATGTCTAATTGAAAATTTGAATACGCCATATTATAGAGGAGAATAAGTTACAATGACAACATGCAATTTATGTTAAATTTTCAATCCCAAATAAAGTCAGGAAAAAATAAAAGTGATCTCTGGATAAATCTAGGATGTAAAACAAATGACTATCTGATAATTTCACGGCCAACCTAGAGAATTCTGCTTTTTTGGAATAACTAAAGTTTGGCAATGTATACATATTAGAAATCAGAATTAAAAACTCTATTCATCTGTGCAAAAATCCAATATGGCGTCCATAAGAAAAAACCAAGTTGATGCTGGAGGTCAAGAGACGAAACGTCATATTGGAATTCTAATTATGCCATCTTGAAGAGGAGAAACAGTGGCAATGTTAATGTGCAAGGTATTTTGAAATCCTATTACAAATAAAGCCAGGAAAAAATTGAATCGATTTTGGGAAAATTCAATTTTTTCTCTCTCGGGAAGTACTTTGGATTTCAAAACTTTCTAAGCGGCATTTTGTTGATTACCTAAAAACGCAACTTTGCCCCTATTTAAGCGACTTCGTATCTCGTACCATGTTAACCCATTTAAAAAGTAATAAACTTATGACGCAACTGCAATTTGTGCCTAATATGGACATTCCAACAACACTAGCTCATTAGCTCGACATCTCGTCGACACTAGACCCTTATTTTTATGAGGCCGCGCTAGCTTGACATCCCGTCAACACTAGCCACGTTAGCTCGACAAACCGTCGACACTAGCCCACTAGCTTGCATGTAACTTCTTGGAACAAAACTCTTTTGTTTCAACCTCATAGCCTGTCTTCACAGTAAGGTACACTTCGTAACTTCCTTTCAAACAACGTGGCACTCCGGAAATTCCGATTCATTTTCTTCGAACACAATAAACATAATTTCGGAATCGCACTAAATCACAAGTCACGCAAGGCTGGTAAAACGAGCGAGTTATACCCCACTTTTTGATATTATGGACCGAAAGATACGCGAATAACACTAGTTTACAAAAATGCTTGGTTTCAAAAATGTACCTCGACAAAAAGATGTTTTTTGTACTAATTTGAAGTCGCTGAAAACGAAAATGACTCTCATTTATTTTTCCAAAGAACCGTTATTGAGATTTCTGCAAAAAAATGTGTTTTTAAGCTCTAATGCAGTTATGTGTTGTAGAGTTATTTTTGGAAGGCACACATATTCCCTTTACGGCAACATATGATTTGTGTCAATCGAATTCGTAGTGTTCCCAAAATAGTCCTTGAAAGGTGCATTTTTGAAGCTTTTTTGAAAACTATCGGTGTTTATCAACTTTTTTTGGGAGCAACACGTGTTTTCCAACTAACATAAATTATCTAAGCTTGAAGATAATTTTGTCACCTACATATCGCGCCCAAGTTTGTCCAAATCGGACAGAAAATGTGAAAGTTATGACGTGTTATGTAAATGCAGACAATTTAATTGTTTGGCGTATCAACTCTCGATGTATACTGTCCCGAACAAAAGTGAAGTAATTTTGGCCTGTGGATTGAGACACGCTAAGTTACTGTCCTGAGGGTCACTATAATTGAATTAAATGTTTATTTTATATGAAAATCTGTATCGACCGATTACTATTTCAAACATTGTACAGGAGGAACTCTTATACCATTTGTCGGTAAAATACAACACTGCTGCAGCGACGCTCAACTACTGTGGAGTGTGACAATGTGTTTCAGTTTGTTTTGTTCGTAACGTCTGCGTAGTTCATAAATTTATAATTGTCAACTGTCATTTTTGGTTTTGTGTTAGCTTCCGTGTACTGATGACATCTGTGTTATGAGAAAAAAACAGAAACGCATCGGTTAAGTTCTATTCCATTTGTGGTTTGTATATACATATTGCACCGACTTTACAGTCATATGTGATTTTTCCCTTTGAATTTGGATGCTGGAAGGCGAGCGATTTCATCAAGACATTGCTGCGATTGAAAAGCATTGTGAGGGCTTTTGGGATCAAGGCATGATGAGCGACTACTGCTGGATGCAACTTCGTGAAGATTCCATGCAACATAAGAGAAATAGTGTGAGAGTGAAAGCGTATTTTAAACCCTAAATGTAACTGTGTCAAATACTCTAAAATCGCATGTGTTCACATTACGCGTTATGACTCCCACATTTTTTGTTCGAATCAGAAAAACTTGGGCTTGTTATGAAGGTGACAAAATTATCTTTAAGCTCACATAATTTATGTTAGTATAAAAAAATATTTGCCCCGAAAAACGTCTATAAACTTTGATAATATTTTCAAAAAAGCTTCAAAAATGAATTTTATTTCATCTTGCAACGGCTATTTTGCGAATACTACGAACTTAATTGACACAAATCATATATTGCCGTGAAGGGAAAATGTGTGGCTTTCAAAAGTTACATATGTCTAAAAAATGACCTACCGTACCGAGATTTCAGGTGATAACTGCACTATAGCACAAAAAATACGTTTTTTGCAAAAATTTCGTAAACGGATCTTTGGAAAAATAAATGAGAGACGTTTTCGTTTTCAGCGACCTCAAATTAGTCTAAAAAAAAAACACCTTTTTTTCCAGGTACATTTTTCATGTAAACTAGTGTATTTCTAGTTATCGGAAATACCAAAAATCAATAGTGGCGGGTTTAGTCTACGAGATGCTTTCGATGCAACCCAAATAAGCGAACCATTATCGTTATATTTATTACCTCATCATAGGTGGAGCAGTCCATAACAAAGATGATCGTGAAAGAATCAAAAATTGTTGGATCGAATTTGAGGTAGAAAATACTATGTTTGCAAGGTTGCTATAGCCAGATTTATCAACAGTTTTTCTGTTGAGATACTTGTTTTCTATTATTTTTGCTGACTCACCTAAAGTAAATGTCCATAAGCCTCTTACTGATATGCTGAGTTTTCAACATGTCCATCTCATCAGCATCTATTTTTATGGAGTCAAGAAATTTGATAAAATCACCTTCGTAAGCATTTAACCACTTGATGAGCAGGTTTTCTTGGAAAGATTTTTTTACCTTTTCGTTAGTTTCATTAAGGCCAGACGTCAGAATATCTTGTCGTTCGTAGATTTTGAACATCTAGCAAAGAACATAAAAATAAAGCATGATTCAAAAATATCAATGCAAATCCAAGTCACAAAGTTGTATTCTCCAAAATCTCAAGAATATTAAAAAAATACATATATGAGATTGTATTAGTGTTACAGGAGTGAGACAAATAATGTTGTTCATATGATAGCACTAAAAAATGGGATTCCTAGAAAAATTCGTACAAACCTTTGGCCCCATGTCAGCCACTCTTTTAAATGCTTGTAGTCTGACATTAGCGTCCACATCTCTCAAATGCCTCAAAATATAAGGGGCAGAACCTACATACGGGGCAATCCTTCTCATCACTTCTCTGCGAATCTTATTAAAATTCAAACAATTATTAGAAAGATGATCACATTAATTTAGCAGTTTTCATTCATACTGTGTATGTACCCAGTTGCAGTAAAATACTCTTCAGACGAATTTTCTGCAGCGCTTATTGTAAGGCTACTACACTTGAGTATCAGAATATAAGACAAGTACTATAACGCATCTTGCGCCACTGCTACAGTGGTATGTCTGTATATCAGTGATGTAACGAATATTCGCATGTTTCTTGACATTCGCATAGCCGATCGCGGAATTCATGCGAAAAATTGGGAATATAATCATAAGAAAAATAAAATATGAAAATAGTGTAACTTATTGTGTTTTTACTGTTTAAAGTCTAATTAGTAAGATCCGAGGAACTCGGCCAACTAGGACTCTGCGTCTTCTGCTTGAAGGCGGTGGGTACTTGCGTCCTCGTTACCTCTCACAAAAGAAGTCAGTCGGTTGTAGTGAACGACTATCAGCTTCAGGCACCCGCTTCCTTGGGCCCACCAGTTGCAGCCTCTGCTGAGACCCATCTCCGTTTCAGGAGGCCATCTTCTAGCACCAAAAAGTTCCACTGGGCCCAGTATAACTTGACCGCTTCTGAGAGTGGAACGACTGTCCTCTCTTCCACTGCTTCAGCCAATTGATATAAGGATCTCGCTTCTGGCCTTCACGGATTTCGTCCGTCAACCAGAAATCATCGACTACGTTCGTCTTGCAGATGGCCGCTGTCCTCTTCTTACGCCTACTGCAGTGAGAGCACTCGGCATTGCGATGGTTCAAATCAGCACGAGGCTCGATCTCGAAATCATTCAGCGAGTCGCTCGATCCATCTCGCCACGTGTCCTTTAGAATTCTTAAACTGCAGGGGCCACTTCTGAGACCATGGTCCGTCCGTATCAGGATTTTACGCCCGTTAACAGTTCTCGTCTAGTGACGCAATAGTTTTGTTCAGGCTTGGACTGGATTTTGCTGAAGAATCTAACCCTCTTAGACTTGTGTCAGCACTGGACAAATACCGACGTAGCTTGAGTCTATATCTAGGATTAACTTCTCTTTGGATATCCTAAGATCGGAGCGCTGACCAAATGTTTCAGTTGTTCAATGCTCATCCCAGACGAACTTCTGAGCTTTCTTGTTTCGCAGTATTTGCGAAGCCAGGAACAAACCGTCTGTAGTACGTGCACAGTCCAAGGAAACTTCTCAACTACGACTTGTTCGCAGGAATAGACCATTCCATGATCACGCGTCATGACTACGACGATGATTCCGTCCAAGTAGACAAGGCATATTTTCCAGGTCAGCCCCGACAGCACTAACTCCATAAGTCTCTTGAACGTCGCAGGTGTGTTGCACAATCCCAAAGGTATTAGGCAGTCCATGTCCAAGAGTAATGGTAGTCTTCTTTCGGTTGACAGGGTCCATCTCTACTTGCCAGTATACACTCTTCAAATCCAGCGTCGAAAAGAAGACAGACCCAGATAGCGCATCCAACGTGTCATCGATACGTGGCAACGGATGGCTACCCTTTTCTGGTGACAGTGTTCAAATGACAATAGTTACGCAGAAACGAGTACGAGGCATTAAGTACCAAACCCAAATGCGAAAAACATAGTAATTTAGGTCCGCGTTGATTTTATTATTGATATTCCCACTAACTTGGATAATTCGCGTATTTTTCCGTGCGTCACGATCTTGAATAAAACAAATATCAGTTTATTTTTTTGTTTTTTGCTAGAAAAGTATAATGTAATAGCCAAACAAAAACATTATTTTCCACACAAACTTTTTTCATTGGTGTTATAAACAATCAGATATTTCTCATAAGGAAACATATGTTTGAGTCGTTTTGTGAGTGAAATGAGACAGTCCATACAGAAATGAGACTGTCAAAGCAGCGAATGTCTCGCTCAACGCAAGAAAGAACACCTGAGCTTATTGTCTTTTTCACGAGTAACCAGTATGGTAGAATGACAGTTAATTATTTCAAAATTCCACATATAGCCAAATGACACATAACTAGAACGGATCCGTCAATGTCAGGTGGACAGAGCCATATATTGTTTACAAGTAAGTTTTGCACCAAATCCATTATTGCTAATAGTTACAGACTAATACAAAGATGTCACTTGTTGATCATCTGTTCACTTCACTTCAAAACGTGATGAATACTCTTGGAATAGGGTTCACTTTGATCAGAATATAACTTGAAAATGACATTTTTTCAATTTATCACGGAGCTATACTCAAGACGAAATATTTTTGCAGTTTGCTATCATGAATCGCCGAAAAAATTTAATTGTCAGCAAAGTTAAAAATGTATACTTAAAACTTAACCTAAACGTTCCAAGTGAGGGGAAAACTCACTCAGCTTAAGTTGGTTAAACAGAGTTTTGGTAAAAAAAATTCATTGAACTAAGCAAACTGAAATGAGATACTGTGTAAAATGAATGCAAGTATAATTATAGATTAACAAACAAAAACATAATATTTTTTACTTGTATCCGTCTTTGACTCTGAATATTTTATAAGTGAAAAATATGAGAAAAACAATTTTTCATAATCATGCTGAACGAGAGAAAGATTAAACTTCAAAAAAAAAAAGATCTGCGTTCTTTTCTGCTTCAAGTATGTTTTGATGGGGTGTATTGAGAAGAAAAACTGAAAATTTCCGTTCTGGAAGATTGTCACTTGATATTCGCATACGCCTTCGTGAATGCCAAAAATCTGACATTGATTACATCACTACTCTGCATATCTGTATACAGATCTCACCGTGCTCAACGACATACATCGTTAACAGCGGCATACAAAACATATTAGTACCTGACTATATGAATGGCAATTGCATGAATCAGAGGTGTTTAGCCTCATCTGACAAAAATCGTTCAATAGATTTAGCGCTCTACAATACAATTTCCAAGTGTGTTATTATTAAAAGTAACAAAGTGTTAATAACAGTGGCGGATCTAAAATGGCGCACAGGATGCATTTTGAGTCAGGCCCCGGGACTCGGGCGGGCCCCACAACCCAGTTTATGTGGGTAGAAAAAACTCTATGTCCCCAAAACCTTGATGCTCAGTGAAGCCCCTTCACCATCATTGGCATCAAAGGCTTCATATGATCTTTGTGATACTAAGTGACATATAAATTCGAACACCCAGTTTAAATGGTTTTATTTTAATAAAAGTTGGTGAATGTATTTATCTTACTGTAAATAACAAGTGAAAAAATTTTCAGCCTTATCAGTTGGACATTCCGGTTTTTATACTGCTTTTTTTTACTAACGCTCTAAAAATGAATATTTCAGCCGCAGTAAAGAATCAACGTTGGCGGATTTTGGTTCTTGACATCCTTTACGATGCCTAGAGTACGGAGACCTGTACGATTTCATCAACTTAGTGAGTTTGATAGGGGCCGTATAGTGGGACTTCGGGAAGCTGGACTTTTTTTTCGGGCAATTGCAGTTAGAGTGCAAAGAAGTGTAGACACTGTGGTTAGGTGTTGTCAGGCATGGCTTCGAGAAGGCCGTACGCAAAGAGCAAGGGGCACTGGACGCCGCCGCAGAACAACAGACCGTGAAGATCGCCGCCTAAGATTATTGGCCTTAAGGGGCCGTTTCTCCACTACCAGGTCCATTGCAAATGAATGGTTTGCAGAACACGGAAGACCTATTGGCATGCGAAGTGTTTACCGACGTTTTGGCTTGTTTTCATACCGGCCACACTGGGTCCTCCCTTTAACTCGAGAACACCGACGTAATCGCCTTGAGTGGTGCAGACAATGGTCACTCTGGGATCAGGAATGGAACAGTATTGTCTTTAGTGATGAGTCTCGTTTTTGTTTAGGCATGCACGATGGTCGTGCCAGGGTTAGAAGGCGACGAGGTGAAAGGAGGAATCCACAGTTTTTTGTTGAAAGACATGTTCATCACACTATTGGAGTTATGGTTTGGGGTGCTATAGCTTATGGTTCCAGGTCACCTTTAATCTTCATCAGAGGTAACATGAACGCGCAGGGTTATATCCACGAAGTTCTAGAACCCCATCTTTTACCCTATCTTGACACCCTGGCAGATCCAACTTTCCAACAAGATAATGCCCGACCACATGTTGCAAGAGTCACAATAGACTTCTTTCAACATATTGATGTCACATTGTTACCATGGCCACCAAGATCTCCCGACTTATCCCCAATTGAGCACGTGTGGGATATGATGGGTAGGAGATTGCTCAATTTGCAACGTCCTCCTCAGACTCTCGAAGTACTTCGAGAGGAGTTGGTGGTTGCTTGGAATGAGATACCACAGGAGGACATTGACCACCTGATCAGAAGCATGCCTAGGCGCGTTGGAGAATGCGTAGCACATCAGGGTGCATCCACACATTATTAAAGGTCAACGGGCTTTAAAGCAGTGCAATCATTTTGAAATTTTTATCATTTACTTATTATGCTTCATTAAGTACTTATACAAAATTTTATTAAAATAAAACCATTCAAACTGGGTGTTCGGATTTATATGTCACTTAGTATAGTTTATAGTAACTGCTTAGATATCTAGTTCGTGTGATTCAAGCTATATGATAATATGTTATGTATTAATATATTTACCAATGGATTTGCATCTTGAAGTAAGCCTAAATAAGCTGTTACTACCGGGCAGTTAGGAGCTGTAGGGTCTTGTAGCTTCTCCAATGCCATTACAGCTTGTAATCTGATTGATGATTTCAAATCCTAGGACAATGTATATCAATTATTTTCCTAAACTTAACATTCTGCAATTTAAATAAAAACTCTAAATCATTTCCAATTACAGTTAACAGACAGCTGCCATTTTCTGCAGTGGTCGATTCTGAGATTATACAATAAAGACACAATTTTAAGATGTATTAATGTTATTACTTACTGCTGTTCTCTCCAGCATAGCCAGCCCAATTTTCTCACAAACATAATAATCGATATTCATATTACTGCTAATATTCTGCAGTAAAAGTCTGAGGAATAAGCATGAGTTGTAGCGTAGTGATACATTTGCTAAGCGATGGTACTGAAATCATAAGTGTTGATATAGCAATACATTAAAGCAACAATGTCTTTGAATTCAAACATCTAAAACTGCCATCTAAATCTTAACAAAGTCAGCAATGTCAAACATGGATGTCTGCAGAGGTGACAAAACTGGTAATTCATAGTATTCCTTCCAGGATATGATGGGGGACCAAAAATGCAACAAATTTTATCCCATATTCATGTACATGAGAAAATCAATAGTTTTCAGAAAAGGGCATTTCAGTATAAATACAGTGGACCTCCGGTGATCCGACAAACATTATGCAGGGCAGTGTCGGACTATCGAATTTGTCGGATTATAGAGCACTGCCTAAGACCCCGGAATTTTTTACAAAAGAGTACCTTGTAATCCGACAAATTACATATCCAATGGTAAGATTATATATGTTATGTATATGTATGTACTTTGAAGTACAAATCATACATAGTTTATGTAAGTCGAATTTAGTAAATTAAATAACAATAGAGAGCTTACGTTTTATTATAAAATTAAGCATAAATGCACATACATTTGTACCAGAATAATCAAGAATTATTCATCAAAATGAATTTATCAAAGTATGAAGCTTGGAAATATTCATTCATTCACGGCACCAGATTTCCAAATCTTCCGGACTTATCTGTGTTTCAGTAGCGGCTTGTTCTATAACTTCCGAAGCAACACTGATTTGTGGAACGTTGCTAGGAGTGGTGACTATATCTGGCCATAACTTTCTCCAAGATGATTTAATAGTTGATGACGGTAACGGATTCCACGACTGACAAAGAGTAAAAATCAAGTCTTTCATATTAAATTCTTTTAAAGTTTTTTCTATTGGTTGGTCTTTTGATACGGCTCACAGAAGTAGGTTTTTTTTATAGTCTTGCTTGACAAACTGAATGATATTCTGGTCCATTGGTTGAATCAGTGCAGTGCAATTTGGCGGAAGAAACATCGCAGTGATGCATTTATCCTCAGTTGTTAGTTCTTCTTCAGACGGATGACTGGGAGCGTTATTAAGAAGCAACAACACTCTTTGAGGAAAATTATGATCTTTTAACCATTTTCTAACTTCAGGTACGAAGCATTCATCAAAACACTTCTTGAAAAGGTCTTTTGTCATCCATGCACTTTTTTGTCCATAATAGTGTACTGGTAAATCAATGTTTTTGATTGCTTGTGGTTTATTATATTTCCCAATGACCATCATCTTAAGCGGGTGTGTGCCCGCAGCGTTAGCACATGGCAGTATGGTTACACGATCTTTACTAACTTTTCGTCCAGGTACGGATTTTTCGTTACAAGAAACGAAAGTTTTGTTAGGCATCACACGCCAAAAAAGCCCTGATTCGTCTGCATTGTACACCTGTTACGGGTCAAGATTTAAATCGTTCACCTTTTGCAAAAATCTTAATTCAAAGGGCTCTATGCAGGTGGCATCATAAGAAAGTTTCTCTCCTGTAAGTCATTAAACGTATGCCATGACGACTTTTAAAACGTTCTATCCATCCTTTGCTGGCCACAAAATCATCTTTTTTTGTTATTCCCTTTTCCAAAAAAACTTTCATGGCCAACATGGGTCCTGAAATTGGTGCATGCCTATTTCTTTCCTGAAGAAACCACATGTTCAAAGCTTCTTCCACTTCTGGATGTTTAGCTTTCCTGAGTGTCTGTCTCTTGCCTGGCCCGCAGTCAGTAGTTGACACGAAATTCTTGATCTTCTCGTGGTTTCTTTTAATGTCATAAATTGTAGATCGACCTACGCTGTATTCACTTGCTAAACTACTGAAAGTTTCATTGCAATTTAATATCACATTTTTCTTCTCTCTTTTTTTCTCTAAAGCTAAATTTTTATGTTTCTCCTAGGCATTTAAGAGAACGAAGATCCTTTGAACCTTGTCAGCATAGAACTTTGTATGGCTCGAATAGTAGCATGGATAGGATAATGAGAAATTGTAATGACTGTGATATAGACCTTTTTAATACTTCACTATGCTCTCTCAAAAAGTTCCTTAAAGATAGAAATCTTAGCTAAAGTTTTAAAATGTCTTAATTGCTGGTGATGTTTGCTGTGTTGTTTAGTTGTTCAGTTTTTTTAGTTTTTAGTATTTGTTTGTAACTATTTTTATGCACGTTTTAATATTTTAATTTAGTAAATAGTCAAACTTTATGTTCATATGTTAGATACTTTATTTATGTGTGTGAATTTTATTAGGTTAAGATTGTACTTTTACAACCTGTAACCGAATGGGTTTATCCCGTAAATTTGTAAATAAATAAATATTCTTTAATTGTCAATGTTTTGTGCTTTCGCTTCTGAGTTTGTGATAACATTACTAGGTACTATACTTAATACACAATGAATAAATAGAAAACAATGCACGCATGCTAGGCCATACCGCTATCACAAGTAGTCAAATTCAAACTAAGTAAAACAATGCTTATGCGTCGAGCACGATAGCGGTGGCGCGTACAAGTCGTAACCTGTTCAAACCTGGGTGATCTACTTTAGTGAAGATTGTGAAATAGGTATGTATGTAATATTCAAAGACATGTCGGATTACAGAGGGCGCCGAATTAGACAGGGGCCAGATTATCGGGGGTCCACTGTAACTAAGTGAGATATGGGTGAACCTTCGAATATGTCTTGTAGTTTGTACTCAAATTATAATAAAAAGCTTGAACAGTTTACTCACAATAAACTAACAGCTAAATAACAACATGGTTTTAGAGCTTGGATTTGCTTAGGCAAGTTTTGTTCAACATTAAAATTGCTAGTACATTGCATGTATAAATTACTAGGAAAACTTGTCCTATCCTGACATAAACGCAATTAGGATAGTGTGCAATATTTCTGTGTAGATTCTATCCTTGTATTTTTGATATCAAGTTCACAAGTCACTTCAAGAATTGATTTGGATGCAGTTGCTAGATGGATTCACATAATCGACGATATTAAGCGATGATCTTTTGTTCGAATTGGTATAATAAAATATTAAAATGCAACTGAAACATGTATCTTTTGTTGATATTTACTAATCAACAAGAAAATATAATAGTAGGAAAAACTCTTGAGGTGAGACAAATCCATGCAGAAGTGACAACTTAAAATCATATTATTCTAGGAGGAACACTGAAGTGATTATTTTCCTTCCAAAACATGACATGACCTGAAACTTTAAAAGGAAAAATTCGCAAATGGGAGTCAGTCTTGTAACAATGAAGCATCACAAAACACTGGCAATAATTAAAGTTTTTGTATTGACTGCAATTGATGCAGCAACTAGTTAAAAACAAAATAGCTGAAGGCATTTTGTTCCAATAGCATTACTGCACTGGTGCCTCTCAAAATAATTTATTTCATATGTTGCATATCAAAATTCAAACCTTCAAAGTTTCCATAACAGCATCTGTGAAAAAAGGATGAGTGTTTACATCCTCAAAAGGATCTTCTGATACACTTTCATTTTCGCTCTCTTCTTTAGGGATAGTTTGTACCACAAACTGAGAAACGAATTCCAGTAACCTTTCCACATTCTCGTTCTTTGCACCAAACACTTCTGTCGCGAATATAACTTTTAACAATTTTAAGAAGATCTGCTTGAATCTGTTGGATTCCACCTATAATTGTATGTATTAGTCCATGTGATGGAGCAGAATTTGTTTGCCACCTTTTTGTAGATCCCATCTAGTTGATGCAAACATTTCTGGTGAGAGGCTCTATTCTTTTGTGCGGCGTCCAATATTTTCTTGAATTGAACTTCTAGTTTGTCGCCCATTTTTAGGTATACGATATCAAAATAATTATGTGACCATTTAAATACTGGGTAGAAATAAATGAAACCCACATGAAACCGTTAAAAATAAACAAATAATTTGAACATTGAACCACAGAACACATAACATTGAACAGCGTCTCTTTTGCAGTTGACAACTGACAGATGTGCTGTGACTTCTGCTACAATAGCCGCTTTCCAGTGCTTTTAGAGATTTTTTCACGAGATCCCGTAGTGAACCGGAGCGGGAACAAATGGAATTTCCCCTTCCTCTCGAAGTTTGATGTACAACCTGTCGTTCCAGCGGAAATTAAAGGACGCAAACTTGGCTAACCGGTTGCACCGGTAGCTCAACCGGTGAATTAAAGAATATACCTACTGGAAAGCACCTTTGATTGCGCATCAGCAACGTCACAATCACAAAACAGAAAACACAAAAGTCAAAAGTGTCATTCGGCTATAGGATTAAGATTTCTCAAAATATTTTTTGATCCAAACTTATTAAAAAATCCTAAATACAGTCTAGTTATATTTTTGACTTGATCCATGAAGTTTTATTAAGTAAGATAAAAATCAATTGCAATAAATTTTGTTAAGTAGGTAAATTTCTATATTGAGAGAATTGCCAATTTGTCACTTTTTAGGTGCTGAAATGGAGCAGAGCAACAAATGGCTCTTTTGAGCCTAACTACCAGAAGATACAATCACAATTAGGATATGTTCTTGCGTGTACTAAGATTCATAAGTTAGATATCGCCAAAGAGTCAATGGATACTCCAATTACAATATCCAGTGCTGACTCTACTACAAAGAAATTAGAATGTGATGAGTCTGTGTACTCTATAGAATCTTCTAGCTTTGAGAGGGTTCCAGTAAGTTGGGGGAAAAGGAAACCTATAATAGACACTCCTTTTTCAACTGGAGCAAAGGTTAGGAGATGGATGGGAGATATTGAGGCTTCAAGAAGGCACTTTGATGGAGATGAGAGCGAATTAGGTATAATCTATGTTGTAATAAATACATGAATTGGTCATTTCAAAAATTAGTCTAGTCGTAATTTTTCCCAACATACTTTACTGTAAATGATTTCTTAAAGGTAGGTTCATACTTTGGGCATAAACCGCATAGGTTGATTCATCCCTTCCCTTTTAATGAATACTATATTAAGCCCAAAAAACTCCTTAAAAGTCGCTAATCTCTGAATGGCTCAGTTTTTGATATTTCTGAATAATACAAATTGCTTGACTTTTATTTTTGAAATGACTGATTCAATCTATATATAGATATTTTAAAGGTCTGTACCTCAGAGTGACAAGCTAATCTATGCCAGTGAGTTGAAGAGCAGTGACTTGATTTGAATGAACACATCTCACCAATTGCCACAACTGCTGGGAAACAAACAAGACTATTTGTTTAGGCCTTTCCTTCACATGACCTCACTCTGTACAAGACCTAGCCTTGAGTACTGTTCGCATGTTTGGGGTGCTGCTGCCACAAGTACATTATCTATGCTCAGTGCTGTTCCTCAATGGCTCTATAGAAAAAAGAAGCAAAGTTCATAGAACTATAGAAAACCAACAATGTTTGTGTTAATATTTTGTAGCATAACCATTATAACGAAATGGTAAGAGTGCATGAAAGAAATCTACAAGGTGATAACACAAAATCAGATAACAAAAATTTTACGACGTATGATGTTGACACAATATTCATACCAAAATCTTCAATTTCTCGTACCCCACCTAAAGTAAGCCAAGAATACCATAGAAGCCACGTGGACATTCTTACAGAACATCACCCTAACATTGAAAAAGGTAAAAGACCCAGATCGCAATCTAGTCCAGGGGCAGAAAATGTTAGTAAAAGACTGTGTCATGAAGTGAAAAACTGTATGACGGAAGAATTAATTCAAAAGTTTTTTGATGAATTTGATACCATAGGCAGGCTCATCAATAGAGACATGATGCTTACTCCTTTCAACACACAGGATAAAACATGCATTGTACAAGCCACTATGAATATACAAAAATTACTGACACAAGTTGTGTACAAAGTCAGTCAGCTAGAAAAAGAGAATGTAGTGTTAGCAGCTAGAATAGAAAACAGCCAGCCAAAGTATACATGCACGGTTTCTAGTGGAAGCCTATTGAACGTGCAAGGAAAACAAGAGACTAGTGGAACTGAAATAGTACAACCAAGAAGTTATGCTAGTATTGTAGGTGGAAAGACGGTAAGTACAACCAAAGAATTAATAAGCAAAGTGAAGAACCATGAACGACTCCATCAGAAAATCGGAAACTTGAGTCAATCATAAGAGTGGAAAAAACAGAGAATCCTAGGGTGGTCCTAAGTAGACTTGAACAAGAGTTGACGCAAAAGGATACTGAACGAGGCTTCAAAAATATTAGACAATTACAATCAGGGGCAGTAATAGTAGAAAGCCACACTGAAAGCCAACAACAGAAGCTGAAAAAAATTTATTGAAAGATAAGAACGGCATAACAATCAAAACATCAGATGGAATCGATCCTATGTTCATGGTCACATTTTTTACACATTGCTAGGTACTGCAAACAGCAGACATGTTGCTACAAATGTTCAGGTAACCATGAAGCCACCAGCTGTCAGGAACATGATCTTAAATATGCAAATTGCCGAAAAATGAAATATAGTGACATTAATCACTCTGCCTGCGACCCAAAATGTCCAGTCTACACATCGAGAATTAGGAAGTTTAGAAATAAGATCAATTACAGCCAGGATTTTTAAACATAAACAGGGAACAAATTGATGCTGATGAGTCTGACACCTATGGCTCTTTCAAGCAAATGGAGGAATACAACAAAATAGCTCTACTCCATCAAAACGTCCAGTTGCTTGGAAACTCAATAAATGAGGTAAACCAGATGATAGCAAATAATACTATCTGTAAATTCATTTGCATCAGTGAACACTGGAAGAGTCAAGACCAAATTATCAACTAGGGAATTAGGAACTTCAAGTTAGCATCTTGTTTTTTCAGAAAACAACGGAAGCATGGTGGGAGTGCAGTTTATGTGAGGAGTTCAGTGCTCGGAAAGGTCAGATATAAAATCATTATCTGTGGAAGGTTACCTGGAGTGTGCTGCAGTAAAATGTTCCTTATATGGGTTGAATTTCATAATGTTGTCAATATATATACCACGTCTGGTAATATGCATGTGTTTTTAGAAAAAGTGGAACAAATTCTACTGAAAATCCGCGATGAAAGTGCCACAATTTTCATAGCCGGTGATTTCAATATAGATTTTTCTCAGGAAAGTCTGAACAACTCTTATGTTCACTTTTAAATTCATATGATTTACATCAAACTATATTCCAATACACACACATAACATCCACCAGTGGATCTTGTATTGACAATATTTTCACCGATACCTCAACTTATGTATCTAATGTCATTAATTCATTAATCTCAGATCACACTGCTCAAAAAATAACAATGAAGGTTAATATGCACAATCTTGCTGATGTTATACAGAAAAGGATATTCAGAAAATAAAGAATTCTTTTTAACTAGCCTCAGATCTGTAAACTGGCAAAAATTACTTCAAATTCCTCAGAATGATGTAAACAAACAATGGAATTATTTTAGTGCTATATTTCAATCTATTTTTGATCAATCGTTTTCCATGAAAACAGTAAAAGTGACAAAAAGGCTCCCTAACCCAAATCATTCTCAGGAAACGGATAATAATATTAAGGAATGTAGGGACCGACTGGATGATCTATATGTTATAAGCAACAGTGACAATTCCTATAAACCATGCTATAACAAAGTCAGAAGAGAGTACAATCTATTGTTAACTAATGCCCAATATAAGTGATATCAAAGACGTATACAAGAGTCAGATAATAAATCAAAATGTGTGTGGAGTGTAGTAAAGGAAATAAAAGGTCAAAATAGAGATGACTGTGTTATTCCAGGTGATCCTGAAGTTATAGCAAATGCTTTCAATGAATACTGTATTAATGAAGTAATTAAAATATTACCACAGGCACCAATACATAACTCTTCTGACTTTTTAGACCATGTGCAAGAGTGTATGCCACTAGAATATGTTACTGCTCTAGAACTAGCAGAACTGGGCAAACAAATAAAATGAGTAGTGGTGATGATGGCATTCCAGCTAGTATTTTAAAATATTGCTTAGTAGTAATTCTGGAACCTTTGGTTCACATAATAAACAACTCACTTATTTTCCCTGAAAAACTTAAATTAGCTATAATTATACCTATATATAAAAAAGGAGATCCTAGTGACTTGCTAAATTATAGGCCAATAAGCGTATTTTCTTGTTTTGCAAAGCTTTTTGAGTTAGTGATGTATTCAAGAATTATGAATCATATGATATGTAACAACTTAATTGCAGAGTCACAACATGGGTTTGTAAAAGGGAAATCCATCAACATGGCGATCTATTCTTTCAGCCACAACATCATAGAATGCCTTGAAAATAATATGATATCGCTGGGTCTGTTTTTTGATCTCTCCAAAGCTTATGATTGTGTGGATCATTCTCTACTATTGAATAAACTCGAGGCATACGGGATAAGGGGAAGTGCTTGTAACTGGATTAAGTCTTATCTGACAGATCGTAAGCAAAGATTTTTCATTACAAAGAATGAAATATCAGCCGTTTCATCACAGTTAACGGTAGAAAGAGGTATTCCACAAGGTAGCGTCTTAGGACCTCTCCTCTTTTTGATTTTTGTGAACGATCTGTGTGCTAGTATTACAAGCCCAAATAATGTATGCACGATCTAATACGCTGATGACACTAGTGTACTAGTCACTGGCCAAGATTTCAACCATTTAGCTGATAGTACTTTGAGCCTCTGCGAGAAAGCGTTTTTGCGGTTTGCTCGTAATGGATTATCTCTGAATACCTCAAAAACAAATGCGATTGTTTTTAAATTAAGAAAAAAAATCGAAGCTACAAACATCACCTTAGCAGAAAGAATAGAAGTCCCTCTGACAGACTGTGGAAAATTCTTGGGAGTTCATATTGACCAAGCACTTTCCTGGGCTAAACACATAGAACATCTAGAAAAAAGGTTAAACAATGCATGTTATACTATTAGAGTACTAAGCAAGTACCTAGACCTCAACACTCCAAAAATTGTATATTACGCGAATTTTGAATCCATTGACGTTTTGCAATAATTTTTTTCGGACATAGTAGCCATACCAATAGGATCTTTCTAGTGCAAAAGCGAGTGCTGAGGTGCATCCTAAAAATTTCCTCTACAGAGACTTGCAGAGGAAAATTTAAGAGTAATAAAATTTTAACTGTAGCCGCAATATATATTCAAGAGATTCTAATTTTTACATTTAAAAATATTAACAATTTTATCGGTAACCCACGAAGTGACTATAACACAAGAAATAGAAATATAAATCTTCTGCATCCAGTCCATCATCTCACGGTTACCGAAAAAAATGTCCATTACAGCTGCACTAAAATATATAATAATCACCGCCTGGCATCGTCTCGGCATAGATTGTAGAAGTTTCTTTATATAAGATTTATCAGTATGTCTCCACTTTTGCTCTAAAGCGGCAAAAAGTTCATCCTTGTTTGAATAATTTTTATCTCGTATTTGCTTATCTAAGTATTCCCATAGATTTTCAATGGGGTTTATATTAGGAGACTGTGAAGGCCATTTGAGAACTGGTATTTTTTCATCCAGAAAGAATTTCTTTCCGAGATTTGAAGTGTGCTTCATTATCTTGCTGGAAGATTGATCTTAAGGGCGTATTGTCTTTCATATAGGGTAACATGACATGCTTTAGTATGTCTGTGTATACAAACTTATCCATAATGCCATCTATTCTATGTAAGGGTCCCATCCCAAACCCCGAAAAGCACCCCCAAACCATAACAGACCCGCCTCCATGTTTGACAGTAGGCAAAGTGTACTTGGGGTTCAATCTTTGTCCACTAGGACGTCTAATATAATGAACACCATCTGATCTAAACATGTTGAACTTGGATTCGTCACTGAAACATACCCTCTTCCAATCACAGATGCAACCGTGCAAATTGTAATCGGTCCTTACGGTTTTTCCTCGAGATTAGCGGCTTCTTACTCGGGCGACGTGCAAATAACTTCAAATCATTTAATCTTCTACTTATAGTTTTCTTAGAAACACTGACAATTCCTTTTGTCTCGATTTCGGCTTTTATTTGTCTTGGGGTTTAAAGGGATCCTTGGACGAAATTACTTTTATTAATCTAACTGATCTAGCATTTAGTTTTCTAGGCCGACCACTGTACTAAACTAATGTTGAAAAGAATTTGTCTACATATTTTTGTCCCTCATAAAAAAGTGCTTATATTCTATTCAGACTTGTATTACGTTCATTGCAGATAATGTAAAAACAAGGAATTTAGTATTTCTACTAATAACGCATTTGTTTATGGAGCAATGAAGTATGAATTCGTTTTCTAAAGGTATTTAGGTAAATATTGATATTTGTCTATATACCTTTGTCCATTACTGTATGTCTATCTAGTAGTTTTTCTGAAGTCGTCAGCGGCAACGATATTAGACTTTTAGGTCTGAGTGATTTTGCATATTCGTATCCTGTTTTCCCAGGTTTAAGTACAAAAACCAGTCTTATGTGTCTCCGCGGTCTTGGTATATACCTCATCGCCAAGCTAGCCTTGAGAATGTATAACTTGCTTGTTAGGAGGTCTGTACCCTCCTGAAGTAATGCTGGGTAAATACCATCTGGTCCTGGAGACTTGTAGACTCAAGTGTGCTGACCTCACATTCGGTTTCATCATCATAAATTGTTTTATAATTCTTATGACTCATATTGAAGATTAACAAAGGAAAATTCTAATCGCACGACTATGACAATCAAGTTATCAGAAGAACAGTGTCAAGCATAAATCTGAAAGACTCATACATTGGCATGAAAATGTTTAAGCCAGTGAGATAATACAACAAGATGTATGGTTTTGAACATAAAGAAACTTCTTCACATAGAGACCTATTACAAGGGTATGTGTGAGGGGTGTATGAAAGTAATTCCTCTAGTTTTACTGTGACCTGCCAAAAACCTTTAAAAGGCCTGTGCATTACTTGTGCTCTAAGAAATTTTACAGTGCACTACACTTAAACTGAAACTTTACATAAGCTCCGAGTTTGTACAACTCTTCTAATTCATATATTGTCCTTTCATACCCTCCTCAAAAGCCAACAGACTGGAACGGTAGCAGAAAAATCATGATAGGAGGGATAGGTACATCAGTCATACTGTTCTCACATGATTGAGGTTTTCCTGATATTTTTTATACTGATACTGCTATTACATTCTAAAGTATGAACTGGGAACCTTAACCCACTATATCATCTAATGTTTCCAGATAATCTGAGCCATTCTCCCAGTTATGTTGATACACCATCCACAGAAAAATCTGAGAATAGAAGTTTGATTTTGGTGAGATGCGATTTCAACAAAACTTTGCCACAATCACCACAAAGCACGTATTTACAGTACCTGAAAAATAAGACCTTAAGTAAAACACCATCACCAATAGTTGATAGAAAAAGGTAAGTAGATAATTGAAGACACAAATGGATAAAGGTGTCATGTAACATTTTTTAAAAATTGTTTGTTTTGCATTGAACTAACCTTAAGGAGTGATTCGTTCATTATTCTGTTTGTTGCAAAAACAAGATAATAACAAACTAATTAAACTAAATACTTAAAATTTCAATAAGGCAAAAAGTCCCAATAAAAAAGGTTTAAAGCCAATTTTCTCCATGCAATGATTTTGTTACATAACACCTATATCCACGTGTGTCTTCACTTATTATAGTTGTAGAGGTCTTGCTTAAAGATATTAATGATTGACACTCATTGGCATTTTTGAAAATATTATATTAAAGCAAGATTGTCAAAGAAAACTGTAAAGCAATCCAATAAGAACTTTTTTGTTTGTTTATGGTTCCAATAAAGGCAGATGGCCATAAGCACTCGAAAATAGCTTCTAAAGGAAATGGGAAGACGCAAAATATCCGTGAGCAATAAATGATTTTAAATCTGAAACTTATCCTTCGATATTCATGCTAATAAAACTCAGTGTTGTCCTGGCCAAATGAAACCATAAATATAGTATGATTCTGTACTAACGTTTTGGCCACATCAGGACCCTTTTTCAAAGTACACATAGGATAACATTGAATATTGTTTCATGTGTACCCCTCTTCATCTCATTCTTCGCCCCAACAACTGATGCATTCGTAGTTGGAGGTTGCATAACATTTTACTAATGGTGTAACAGTTTCAAATTACAATCCTTAATCACATACAAAATAACAAAACATGTATGGAAATAAAAAACAAAATGCACAATATAGGAATGTTTACACGTAGCATATATCTATATTGACCTTGAGTTAAGTATGCTTAGACCAATAAGACCAATAGCGAGCGAGGTCAATTCCAACACAAGAAGCTTCTATTAAATCTTCGAGTATGCACTGGTTGGGGCATTCTGTGCAGAAATACATGTGCACAGTTGACTGGATCTCCAGACAGCCACACAGGCTAGATGACACGGGGTATTCCCAGTTTTTTGAGATTATCTTTACACCTCTTTGTCCCAGTCCGTAGTCTGTTGACATATTTCCAAACTTCACAAGATTCTTAGTGATCAGGAGTCAGTTCATCTGCTGGTGTCATTCAGTGGTGATCTGTTGATGCTTTCCATCTCTCTAACTTAAATGTGCTTTGAAGTTGCTCTGAGAAAAACGTTGAGGGAATTTAGCCTGCATGCCTGAATGCCATACAGGGGATGTTCGGAATCCATGGACTGCATTATCTCTTTATATGCGGAGGCCGTCCGGCGAACTTTAGGTGGAGCGGCTGCCGCCAACTGCTAAACTTAATTGGGGGCTGGTTTTTGGCACTATATGATGAGCCTACAGGATTCGTTAAGTGCTAAATCTTCTAGGGACACTAGAAAAAATCTACCTAACCATGAAAAAAATTAAAACAAGCATAACGACGAACTCAAATCAATACCTCGTAAGTATGAAAATGTCTATTTTCTGGTTTTGTTCTGTTTTGTTGTTGTATGACATGCAGGAATCAAAATAGAACAAAATATCAGAAAATCGACATTTTCGGACTTACGAGGTATTGATTTGAGATCGTCGAAATATGTCAAATAGTAGCATGTGTTCTAACCTATAATGTGAGTCAGTTTTTATAATTAGCTTACAATTCATCAAGTGGAAGACAATCGCAGAAGTAGAAGACAGAAAACAGCAACAAATTATGAAACCATTCAAAAAGTTGAAGCCATGGTTCTCAAAGATCGTCGTGTGAAGGTCTCTACCGTTAGTGTGGCATCGAATATATCGGAACCAAGCGCAATAGTCAACTTGCACGACAATTTGATCATGATTGCTTAGCCAAGTGGTTTCCTCGACTGTACAAAATACCTGAACAAAAATTGCGCAGGTTGGAAATTTCAGAAAATCATTTGTAAACTTCGGCCAACCATGCTAACTTATTGGCACAATTTGTGACTTGGCTCTGTGTGACTTCTACCTCTTTAGATTACTAAATAAAAATAATCGGGGACGCCGTTTTGACTCAAAACATGGCCTAAAAGCAGCCATCTACGACCTTTTTGAATGTCAAGTATTTCTTCGGTAAGGGTATAAGTTAACTGAAGGAGAAGTGACGCAAGTGCATTGATGTAGGGGGGGGGGGTATATTGAAAAATAAAATTTACAAAACAATCGAACGCCTTTTGTTTCATGGCTATGTACATTTTTTTCTAGTACCCCTCGTACCTGCCTTGCATGCCCAGATTTGAGCCTAACTGGGCAGGCATACTCGTCCTTAGTATCTGTGGTCTGGCACCCTAGTTCGTATCTGTAATTTTAGGGAGGAGGGTATTTTTACCACAGGTTTTCTTCTTGGTGTTGGCACAGTGACATTTGAAGGTTAGTGCTGTGTCCAAGATCACACCTAGATTTTAGAATAATGTTCCAGCACCATTCCCCTCAAAGTAATTTGTACTTTTCTAGACGCATACTTTTTACGGATGTTCTCAGCTGCTGTTGGATTTGACTTGATTTCGTTTTCGCCATAGTATTGTTCGACCCTCACCAGAGCTAGCTTCAAAATTCGATTCTCGAGAAGGCTTCTAATGGCCGAAGTGAGTATATAGTCTTTCGTAATGAGATACGCCGTTCGCGCTAGAAGCCGTAGAGTAACTGTATCATTGGCAGCAGTGAGGTCTATGAAAGTAACACCTGTTATTTTGCGGTTTTCGTAGCCATTTACAATATACTGAGTAAGGTTTAATATTTGTGGGGAGGTACTCATGGATTTTAAGGTTGTAGGAGAGCAGATATATTGGACGGTAACTCCTTGGGTCATTTGGGCTCTTTTGAGTTTATAAGATTATACTGGCTTTCCTCTAGATATTTATGAAGATGACGAAGTACTAGTCATTCATTGAAAATTAAAAGCAGCCATTCTTCAGTTTTTGCCCGAAATGTTTAGTTTGCTCTACTAAGATATCGTCTAAACCTGCAGCTTTCCTTATTTTAGCATTGGCTGTTGCTTTGTTTGCATTGGGCCACTTACTATGATTTTAATGCACATGTGGGATCAAGAAAAGATGTTCTCGGACCATATGGAGACAGCAAACTGAATCACAATTCGTTGCAGACTAAGAATAGGTATTACCAGCATAAAAACATACATACATATTGTTTGCAATCAAAACAGCAGGTTAAGATGTGACGATGTTAAAGTACAAGATACAGAGTGCGGCACAGGCCATGTTACCTTGTAAGAGCAAATGTATTTTTCCCTTGGTCTTTTCAATCTTACAACACTACAGACATTGACTATTATGATGAGGTAAGACCCTTCAAATGTAATTTACATAGTCTGAGGAATGATTCAACAGAGAGTTGATATGAAACTGGCCCAACCTCCATATTCAAGTGGATTAAATATGTACGTGAACATTGGTCACGACGTGCATGAAGCCGCTAGAGAAGCTCTTGGTGAGGAGCCGGTGAATAGAAATAGAAATAAAAGCTGGTGGTGGAATACATAATCGGAATATGTGGTTAACGACAAGGTAAGAGCATATAACAAATGGTTATGAACCATGGACAGAGAAGATATTGCACTGTTGTAGAGAAAACTGTACAGAAAGCAAAAAATGACGTATGGAACGCTAAATGCAGACAAGTAGGCCAAAGCATTGGATACTGTATACTTAACAGAAGATGGTGGAATGTCTCCTTCGAAGTTATCTCTTCACGTGAGAGCATGAAAAATGGACAAGCGCCAGACCTAAACGGACTCCCTATAGAGTTTATAAAAACGGCAAACCTTTACTTATCCAGCTTTTCATATATATTCAACAGCTTCCTACGTCATGGGTCCGCAAAGTTGAAACAACTACCCTTGAAATAACAAAGGTAATGTGTAGTGAAATGAGGGCGACCAAGTAAAAAAAAATAAAGGAAAAAGTACTCACTCTCCAGTTGAGGAGAAGGACTAAGTACGTCTCTGCCCGAAATCATACCGCTCCAACAGAAAATGAAATCAGCTGATGCACTACCGAGCAGACGCACCATGCCAGCCCAAACATTCACCGAAAATGTTTGTTGAAAATGTGCCCGACGGACAGCGTGGATTTTCTACTGACCAAACATGAGTGTTGCAAAAGTTATTCACCCCATTACGCGTGAATGTAGATTCGTCTTTCACCAATATGCACTTCAAAAAGTCCGGATTATTGTCATGTTGATGCAACACCACTCACAAAACCGCACTCTTGCTGGAAAATCGTCAGCTTGAAGGGCTTGTACACGTTGGACGTGAAACGGATATAGCCCGTCTTCACGCAGCGTTTGCCACACTTTAGTTTTTGATACTTGCACTTCTCTAGCCACGTCTCTAGTCCTTGTTGAGGGATTATCGTCTACGCGATTACCTCTACAGGCGTGACCGTAACCATCGGTTGAAGGTTGCATACTGACCACTGACCTGACACACTGACCCCGACCCCCGACCCAGTTCTGTCGTTGAGCCAGTGACATTATACCACTCCGTGATGGCGCAGCTACAGGACGGTATTCAGATATTTTTGATGTTGCAGAGCCCTTTATCTCGGTTCCCTTAAGACATTGGTGTATATGGTACTAAGAAAAATTGCTTGTGTTTTTAAGATCTACACGTCGTGTAAAGGAAAACCCCAACTTTGCGGACACCCTGTATATTTGGTTTCATTGGGTCAGGAAAAAATGGCGTTTTATTAGACTTTTGTGATTATGCATAGGTTGGCTATACATCTAATATTAGTCACTAGCTGATTTAATACACTTGCGGATTAGATTAAATAAGTTTTGAGAGGCGTAAACTTACTGATAAATGCACCAAAATTTGTTTTTCAGGAATGTCGGAAAATTTGCAGATACTGCAATGAAACGGAGCGTTTTGCTAAAACAATCACCAGATAAAAGTAACTTTTGTGGATACAGTAGCCCAGTGGATAGGAAATTCTCTGTTGACGCGGACAGTTACCCCAAAACCATGAAGCAGCTGGGTGATAGCACTATTGGGGATGACCCTGATGTTACAGAAGTGCCAATGAGTCCAGAGAGCAGAAAGAAGGAATTGTGCACCTATCTGCAGTTGATGGATCCTGCTGACAAGAAGGAGATACTGATATTGCAGAATAGAAGATCAACCAGAGTTAGAAATCTGGCTGTAATGCAGGAGAAGAAGCTGTTAGATAAACAAATTATGAGCTCGAATTTGAATTTGGCTGCAGCACAACAGAAAAAACATATGTTAAGCTCTGAAGTGGAAGTAAGTGTTATACCAGGGAACAAGGAGATTGAAAAGCAAATTGTGAATTATAATAAGGTAAATTTGGTCTTTGTGCAAGACAAGAAGCATTTGGAGAAACAGGCTATAAGCTCAAGAGTGAATCATGCTACTGTTGTACAAGAGAAGAACCAATTGAAGAGGCAGGCTATAAACTCTAAGATGAATGTGTTTACATTGCAAGGGAAGAAACAGCCTGTGAGCTCTAACAATCTGGCTGCTGTGCAAGACAAAAAGCATTCTGGGAAACAAGTTGTGAAGTCTATGGTAAATTTCTGTCTTAATTTAACTATTGTTGGCAAAACTCAATTTTTACGAGATATAGCCCATTTCTATCAATGTTAGAGGTGCTACAAGGGCGTCGAAGTAGATGCGCACGAGGAAAAAAAGCCAGATCTTCAAAAATTTCAGTTTCCTATGATGATAAGACTTAGGTTAATCAAAGATTTTATTTTGTATAATCTGCATCTACATAGAAGCAAGGTTTAACATATTCTGTCAAAAGATACCTATCCAATTGAAGTCTGTTGATATAAGCATACGTATGGTGATGCTGCCAACTTCTTGTACCTTGAACTATGTACCTGTCAACCACTGCCATTAGGTATTGCCAGCTATCAGTCTGTTACCTCAGGTTATGGGATTCCATACATTTATGAAATGAGGTGGTCTTTTCTTGAACGCTTAATGTCCTAATTAAAAAATAAAAACTTCTCTTTAAAAGTATAAATGAGTCTGTTTTCACTGCTTCTAAGGAAATTACTGTATTACTACTTAGTGACATCGGACTGCAGCATATGGTCAGGTATCTTCTTTGGAGAATATGTTAATCAATGGTAGAAGTAATTTAGATTTCATTTTACAAGGAAACTGCTGAACCAAATGGATCTTCTCGTCGGAAAGAAATAAGGATAGTCCGAGAATTCAGCCTTTCAGAGGAAATTCGACGAAAATCTGAGCTCACTACACTCCAGCTGAGGTCGACTAATGAACACTCACAAAAACTAGTAGTATCTCTCGGAAATTCGAAACTAACCAAAGAAGGAACAGGATCTCATATTTTGACTCCTTTGACATCTGAACATATGAAATCTCAGGAGAAATTTGAAGTGATAAAAAGAAGACCAGAGGATAATTGCAGAATGCTAGACAGAAAGCCTCAAGAAAAATGTGAAACTTTGAAATCCTTCAAAGAACTGAATATTGACCTTAACAAGAGCATAGAGAAGGTCAGTAGACACTGTAGGTCACAATTGCATTCATTTAAATTTTTAACACTTTTGACCTAACAAAAATTCTAATATGGGTGAAAATTTGGAAAGGTTACAGGAATATTGTTCCATAGCCTACTGGAAAGTTCCAGATCTTGCGGTGGGCAAGGACAACATTTTTCAAAAAACTTAGATTTTTGACTTTTTTGTGACGTTGCGTTAAATATTATATATAGAAAAAAGTTCGGAAGACAATTTTGTAGCTTGAAGTATACAACCACAAAAGTTGTATCTGCGATATTTTCATATATACGATTGTTTACGAGATTCAGTCAATTTTCTTGGAGCTGTCATTAGGTCATCCATGAATGCTTCCATGCGGGATTTTAGAGCAATCTGAATCATTTACAAAGCCCGTTATTAATAAGGATTACACAAGATTTAGAGAAAAAGCTGAATTTTAACGTTAAATTGTTCCGAAAAATTCATTTTATGGAAAATGGATTTCAAACTGAGTAAATCGTTCTTTTGAGGTTAGTTGCTATATTTGGGCATTAGTCATCATAGCGAAGAAGTTTTGGATTTTCATTTTTCTTTTTTTATAGAATAATTATACTGAAGAGGAAACTTATCCACTTTTTATAAAAGAAAATATGCCATAATGAAGTTCGACTTTTTTTAGGCATTTTCTACACATTGTTTAACAATATCTTGTAAGATTGTAAATAAAAGCAGGAATAATAACAGCGTGAGAAGCTGAAAATATATTCCCTTGAAGGTGCTTATCACCCTTCTGTACATGTTTTATTACTTAATTTATATTTATATTACATGTTTTATTACTTAATTTATATATATATATATATATTATTGGCAAGTGAAAAAATAATTTCATAAAAACAGTAAGATTTTTTTTCAGTGTGAACAGTTTCGAGTGATAATTTGATAATATACCTGATCATACTCCCTGAAAAGATTGCGCATATTCAGACTGCGCGTGTGGTACTGGTATGAATAGAAAGAATCGGCAAAGACAGAAAAATCATGCGGGTTGGAGTTAAATATGATGCCCTCGATAATGCTCCCCAAATTGTAATTATCATAAATCTTTTTCTATTTTTCTCGTTTTTTTCTGTGATTAAATGCTAGTGTTAATATTGAGATGCCGAACTGCCCAGAAATGATCCTTCCAACGTCTTCAAGATATGTTCCTGACTAAAGATAATGTGATTCAGAATCCCACATCTCTTGTTTTGACGCCTGAGAAGTGATATCCGTGAACATCGCATGAGCTATAAAATTGTCTGGAGAATGCTTTTCTATATACAATATTTGAATAAATAACAAAATAATCTAAAATTAAAATGTTTTTCGAAAATTTTTCAGTTACTGGAAATCGCAGGATCCGAAACTTTTTGTTATGCTAAACAATACTATGTATATTTCAATGACCTAAATCTAAATTTTCATTCGCAATAGGGTTTTTTGAGGTTTTTGGAAAAAAATGTGTCCTCACTGGCCCAGTATGTCATAGATAAGAACTGGGAGCTGGATCAGTATGTTATAGATAGGAACTGGGAGCGCCAACAGATAAGATGCAGATTAAAAGCGATGCATTTGATAACGCACTCCAAAGCCTAATTACCAGTTTTAAAAGCTGGCGTCTGTCACCCTCTGTAGCTCAGTTGTAGAACCTCTGTCGTGTAGTCTAAATGTACCGATTTAAATTCCTAACAGCAGTAATTTTTTTAATTTAATTTTTCATAACGTGATGTGAATTTAAAAGGGGCTTAGCGATGCCGAATTGTTCGGAAATGAGACTAGCCTGACTTAATGTTCAAAAATGTGATTACAACCTCCCCAGCCCCTGAGTTGAGACCTGAGCAGTTGAATCGTTGTGCTCTTAACAAATCTATTTCAAATGAGCTTTACATCATTTATATATAAAAATAGCAAACTTTCCTTATCAATTATAACGCTTTTCTGTACTCAACACTCGTATTTACATATAGGCTAAGAACTGCCTTAGCAAATTGACTCATAGATATGAAAATATAGTATTGGAAAGTTTTGTTGCTTATATATCAAGCTACAGAACTACCATGAAAATGTTTTCTATATATACATGTGCATATAATATTTAACGGATAATAAAAAAACTTAAAAGTTTTCCAAAAATGTTTCAGTCTCTGACCACTGTAGGATTCGGATCCTTTCGTTATGCCAAAGAACAATATTTTAATAACCCAAATCCAAATTTTCATTCGTATTAGAATTTTTGTAAGATTTTGTGAAGAGTTTGGGTTCCCTTACTTGGCTATTTGAAAAACTGTATGTTGTATTATATCAAATTATGTGTTGTTACTTTGTACTTTTTTTACATTATGTCAGTTCTTAACATCGGACCAGAAAAGAGAGGTGTTACGTAGCTCCCAAACAGATGAAGTACTTGTTTTTTTTTACTTGGAAAGTAGTGGACAGTGTTCTTAGCTATAATACAAGCTACATACATACTCAGCTGTCGTGAGTCTTAGATTTTTAAATTCTTTAAATACTCTTAATACTGAATCAATTCTAGGCTCCACCTGAGGAAGAGGAGAGAAATATATTTTGCTTTCCCTTTCCACCCAAAGAAATGACTGAAGAAATGGAAGATTTTGATGTAGTGATGGCTGATCGAGCTCCTAAATTTAAAAAAGCATGTAGACGGAGAGGATATATATTACAGTGCCCACCCTTTAGGAAGTCGAAAAATAAGGAGAATTTGGTAAGACTTGTCTTTGAGAATAAATAGATTTACTGCTATGTAATCAATAACATGGATAATTTTTCCCTGGACAAATTTTCTAGGTGATGTCTCGGATTCTTTTAGCCCATTGTACTATCGTCCAACGATTTTTGTGTCTAGTTATAATCAGTGGCGATCAGGAAGTAAATTACATTTTCACTAAGTAACGATTCATCTGTTAATGTCATCAATAAGTTTGTTGGTTTTCATATTCTTATGGTTTGACTCACTGATCACTATCTGTCAAGTCCTCGGCAAATGAAAAACCACGGATATGGAAAGTTCTATAAGGCCCACGTGATGATCGGATTTTAGAGCTAGTCACCGGAAACAACCAAGTTTGAAGCGTGCAAATTGTTCATATGTCTTTTAGAGATGTAAATATGTACTTCAAAATGTTAAATTAATAAGGATGATCCAGAGGAAAACCTGATAATAAATATTGAGTCTGGTTGACTACATTTCATGTTCATCAGTCCTAATATTATATATATTATTGACATTGCTGTGAGACTAGCAGCTTCATCGTGATGCAACACCCGTTGTTCTTAATCTAATGAACGGTGGTGTGAGTAAAATTTATCTGTCATCCGGCGATCTGAACGCCCAAGATAACGGATATTCTCGATATTTTAATCGGTTCTTGAAGATGAAGGCCTACTGCTTCGTGGTTCATCTTCTGGAAATGCCTTAAACTACCTGCGCTCTTAACAAAACACTATCTCCGTGGCCTGCTGAAGTTTAGTATCCGTTGAACTCCGCGCAAGTCTGAGGCAAAACCTGATAGCACATCAGTGCTCGAAATAGATAGCACTCATTTTTACAACACAGTAGAAAAAACTGTTTCTCAAAAAAAATCGCTACGAACAACCAAAGGGCTCGAGCGAGTTCAAACTTGGACTGTAGGCGGATCACATGTTCCCCTGTATCTCCTCCAAGCCTGGCGCCTCCAGTGTTGCCAGAGCGAACGCTACGTTTCCAGTCTCATCAATTAATTGACAGACGTTGTAATTTGTGAATAAAATGCTACATGAAAATGAACTGATTTGAACATTCTCTTTGTTAAATTATATTTTTGAGGATTCTAGAGTTGCGAGCGTCTTCTGTTTATTGTGTCCGCAATTCACATATATAAAATAGTCCTGCATTCCATTCGGGTTTTTTCCACATTTCATATGTTCGAAGAATTAAGACGATCAGTAGAAGGCTGTAATCCCGCCAAAATAAGGTTAGTCGGTAGTTATGAGACCTCAAGGTGTGGTTCTTTGTACCTTGGTTTTTGGATGCAAAGCGGGTGCGGTTTGGGCGCCACCTAGTTTAAAAAACTAGGATATAAAATAACAAGAGACAAGGTTTTTGTCTCTGGAGCTACAGAGACACAAAGTCATAAGGCACACAGACATTTATTGAACAAAAAAATAAAAAGGAAGTCCTGGAAGACAGGCTAAGAAATTTATTTTGCATTACCCCTCTAGCTAAATGGCTCCGACAAAAAAAAAACACCAAGAGATTTCTAGTAAAAGACCCCACCATCCTATAAATCTGCATTTCAGCGTGTGAAACTATTTCACATAATCGGGCAGCACAGGACCGGAAATAGCATCAAGTCACCTTCGGCTCTCGTATTTACGGTCAACATAAATTATAAAAAATAACCTCCAACGAGATGGAGTACGATTTTCTACCACAAAATTATTATCCTAAATAAGAAAAGCGACAAGCACGGTTAGTATTTTCGGTTGTTACTGTTTTGTATTTGTGTACATTTACCTTGGTTTGATAGTATCTCGCTTCTCCCATTATATAGCACCTATCCAATATGGCAGGCCTGAATTTTGCATTAATTGATATAGTTTCTAGTCATCACTGTGAAAAATTCATTGATTCTAGTCTAGGTTTCCCAAAGAGACTGACTATGTCATCGAAAGCAGCTGTCGACCGTAACCTGATGCCGACCCGACTACTCTCTTTTCAGTAGATTTCTAAATTCATTTTTGTGTTCCGCTGCTGTTTCATAAATGGTGCTTGTATCTTTTTTATCCCTTTTTGAACTCCCTAATACAGGGTATGGTTGGCTATCTTCAGGTAGGAAATGTTAGTCAATGGTCTTATGTTCTTTTCAGGTACGGTCTCAAAATGTTTTGTCTTGTCCACATCCAGAGTCTATCAAGATACAGCTCCAATATTCCTTATGTTGTTGGCTTACCCATTCTTTGACTATGTACCTTGTGGTATCTTTTACATCCGCTATGCAGGTTCTAGCCTTGGAACGCATTGGTTTTCCATCTTCGGTATATTTTCTAATTATCTTGCTGCAAATGATTTTTATTTGTACATTTAATATTACCTTGGTTGCAGAAGGAAAAATCTAAACAAACAAAACAAAAAACGTCTACTTCGAAACAAGAAAACAACAACAAACGGGATTTTAACGCAGATCCTATAAACTCAATAGAACCTAAACAGCAGCAAATAACGCCTAAGCCCAGATTAAGGCCGAACATATTGAGGAAGAGCCCTAAAAAGAATTCGGACAGAGTAAATAATTTGAGGAGCAACAAGGATCTTTCAAATATCCCATTCAAAAAGCTGACGTCCAATGAAAAGCAGTTGAAAGCGTGGAAAATTATGAAAAAGAGGGAAATGAGAGAACATATTAAAAAAACAGATAGTAATGACGATAAGAATTTAGCTGTAGAGGAGCCGTTTAAGATGCCACTTCCAAAGGTTGAAATAGGTAAGTCCAAATCAATTTCAACAAATCAGTAGCATTTCTTGTTAATAAAAAGCATTTAATAAATAAAATAATAATTTCAAGAGTACAGTGTAAAACAAATACTACGTAGTTTTTAACCCCTGTCAAAAAGAGTTTAACATGTATGTGTGTATACTTGTCTATAGCATTATAAGTTCCAAATAGATGAACTGATTTCCATTCTCATTTTAATTGCGCTGAGCTATAGTACACGAAAATCTGCCCAGCCATTTGAAGTCAATTTATTGAATTAATTTTTAATTTATACATTTACCGTGTGAATCTGAACTGTTTTGTTATGTTTGCAGTGACAGTAAAAGAAGAGACTGACATGAATGTATACCATGAAAACCTGATGGATGACATGATTGACTTCAATAATTTGAGTGAAGAACACAAGCGATGTCTGATTGAGAGTCGAATATTTTCGGCAGACCCTTGCAGGTAAGAACAAGATATATTTCTCAAGCGGCCAAATTGCACTTTGCGCTCTTAATACCCAGGTAGCTTTTTATATACTGCAGCCACTTTTTTTTTTTTTTTTTTTTTTTTTTTTTTTTTTTTTTAACGAGGGGGGAATGCATTTACGCACCATACCATAGCACGAGCTACGACGTGTGTGGGGCTCCAGGGTCTTGAAGAGATCACCTAATACCCACTAAACCCTAAACCTCCGCGTGGCCCGACTCATCAGCGTCTCGGTAGGCCATGTGTTGTGCGTGACCTGCGGTCTGCTACAACGTCTCCTCATGTGTTTCAGTCTCTGGGAACGCCGGGTTGGTTCCCTTTACCTCGCACATTCTATCGATGTCGTTAAGCGATCATCGATAGAGGGTCTGCTAGTTTCTCTTGAAACTCTTGTTTTCGAAAAATCAAGAGTTTCAAGTCCTCTTACCAATATGTTGTTCCTGGTCCTGGTCCTGAAGGGTCCTGGTCCTGGTGGGTCCTGGTCGTGGCGGGTCCTGGTCCTGGTTGGTCCTGGTCCCGGTGGGTCCTGGTCCCGGTGGTTCCTGGTCCCGGTGGTTCCTGGTCCTCTGCATCCACGCCGTGGGGGGGGGGAGCAGCCGCAAATTCTCCTAGTCTCCTAGTCAAGGTTCCAGTTACCGGGTGCCAACTGGGACCTTGGTCTGGGGTACCTGGTTCTGCGGTTGCGAGGCCTCTCGTCCGGATCGTAGTCCATGAGGAATCGTAGCTGCTCGTTCGGGTGGTCCTGAGCTTTCTCGAAGGTCTTCTCCGCTTTTTTCCTCATGTACTCGTGGATGGTATCCCAATGCAGGTCTCTACGCAAGGTTGAGTTCCTTACGTAGGAAGGTGCATTGGTGGCGATCCGGAGTAGCTTCATCTCTAGAGCAGCAAGTCGCTTGCGGTAGCTGGGGGCAGCGTACCCCCAGACCGCGGAGGCGTAAGCGAGCTGAGGTCTGGCGATGGCCTTGATCAGCCGTAGCTTGGTCGCTAGCGGCATCTGGCTGTGTCTACCCAGTAATGGATAGAGTTGAGCCATGGCTGCTCTGGTTTTTGCGATGACAGCTTCTATGTGCGCTTTCCAGGTGAGGGACTTGTCAAAAACGATCCCCAGATATTTGACATTGTCGCTCCACTGGATATCTTCATCGAAGATGGATGCTTCGAGAGGTCTTGCAATCCTTCTTCGTTGAATGAAGATTGCCTGCATCTTCTGGACGTTGATGCGGATTTTCCATTTCACGCACCAGTCCTGAATTTGGTCCAGTTCACCCTGTAGTCTCCTACGGATAATCTCGGGTCGTCTATGCTTGGCGGCTATAACAGTGTCGTCTGCATATAGGGCCAGCATTGTGTCAGCTGTCTTCGGCACATCGTAAGTATAGATGTTGTAGAGCAGGGGGGCTAAGGCTGACCCCTGGGGCACGCCTGCTTCCAGCTGACGTCTTGTTGAATGGCATGTACCAATCTTCACCGTGAACCATCTTTGTGTTAGATAGCTCTGGATTAGTTGGCACATGTTCGCATCGATTCCGGCGGCTTCCATTTTGGCGATGAGTCCATCGTGCCAAACTCGGTCGAAGGCTCGTTCCACGTCCAGCAGGACGAGACCGGTTGCCTCCTGGAGATTGAAGCCGCTGGTGATGTTTTCTGTCAGTCGTAGCGCTTGGAGTTCCGTGTTGTGCGAGGATCTGAAGCCGAATTGCTCTGGGGGGAGAAGTTGCAGTTCTTCTGCCTGCTTCTCTAGTCGAACGGCGATAGCCTTTTCGACTACTTTGCCCATCGAGGAAACCAGGCTGATGGGCCGGTAGTTCTGGGGCAACTTCCGGTCCTTGCCTGGCTTGGTGAGCATTATAACCTGGGCTTCCCGCCACCGCCGCGGAAAGTGGTTAAGTCTCAGGGTGGCATTGGCGATGTTGGTGAGCGCAGCAATGCCTTTGGTGGGAAGGTTCTTCAGCATCAGACGGATTTCCTCTGGACTGGAGGGGTGATCCGTCTCCTGGCCAGGTGGTCGACTCCTCATGTTTTCAGCTGCGACTTCCACGGCCTCCTCGTGGTTGTCGTCCTCGTCTTCATGGTAATTGAGTCTGCATTCGGATTCTAGCGAATCGGCGAATGCTTCGGCTTTTTCTTCACTGGAGTAGGCCAAGCCGCGTTGGCCGTGAAGAGTGGGGATCGTGGTGCGCTGACGACGAAATTTTCGCTGCATAGACCAGGCCGTACCATCCTGGGTCTCTAGTTCTGCACAGGCTGCATTCCATCTGTTGTTTTGGAGTTCCGCGAGTGCGTTCTTCAGAGCTAACGATGCTCTGTTTCGCGCAACTCTCGACTCCTCTGTCAACAGCTGGAGATGTTCTCGCTTGAGTCTTCTGTTCTCCCTGATCAGGTGCCTAATATGGTGCGGTGCTGGACCATTTAGGTGTCTAGGAACTGCCGTAGTCTCGGAGCGGGTGCTGTCCTCGTGCGCTCGCAGGACAGCATTCTCCAGCTCCTCTACTGCGTTGTCCAGTTCCTCCGCTGATCGGATGGTTGGAATTTGAGTGATGTTCCTTTGGACGTTGGATTTGTACAGGTTCCAGTTCGTCCGTTTGGTGCTCAAGCTATCTCGAGTTCTAGACCCTGTGCCAAGTGTTAGTAGAATCGGATTGTGGGCCGACGATCCTTCCACCAGGGTCTCTATCTCGAACTTCTCTCTGATGTTGCGGAGGATGGCTATGTCCAGTACCGCAGGTCGCCCAAGGCCGAATGGAATGTAGGTTGGTTGCTCCGGACCGACGATGACCCCCGCCAGGGCATCGACGTGTTCCTGGAGCTGCCTTGCATTCCTGTCTTCGACGTTGTTGTTCCATGCCGGAGACTTGCAGTTTAGATCTCCGATGACTATGCGTGCTCCTGGGCCTCTCAGGAGGTCAGCGATGTCATCTTCGTCTAGGGCCTCCCCTGGTGGCACATATAGGGAGGTGATTCTGTAGGGACGGTGGTTGTGATGGACCTGGACCGTGATTCCGTCCCCATTTATGTCTGCGGCATCGTCGAGGACATGACTCGTCAAGGTACGTTTGACGAGTAATGCGACTCCTCCACCTCTGCCCCTTCTGTCGTAGCGGTACGTCTCGTACCGCGGGAACGTCAGACTATGGGCAGAATCCAACTTCGTTTCTTGGATGGCCATCACCTCTGGTTGGTACTGGTCTAGTATCTCCTGGATTTCTGGTTTCCGTGCCCTGAATCCGTTGATGTTCCAGGAGATAATGCGTAGAGATTCTACGTTTTGACCTGTAGACATTTCGGGTCTAGTGCTTGTCTTGCATCTTGGCCTCGAGTGCATCCAGGCGGGTTATGATGGCTTGCATCATTGCTAGCAGTCTGTCATCGCCGTGTTGCTTCTGCGCAGTAGTTCCAGTAGCAGTGGCGGCTGCTGGGGCAAAAGTGGACATAGGCTTCTTCGCTTTTTGAGCGTAAGAGGTCCTATTTGTGGTGGGGACTGCTTTGGGGGCAGAAGCAGCTTTCTTCGGCGCCTTACTACATCCCTTGTAGTTGGCGGGATGGCCTTCCCCACAGAGGCAACATTTGGCGTTTCGTTGCCCTGTTGGCGGCGCTGGCAGACTGCAGCTGGTGCTGTTGTGGTCCTCTCCACACTTAACGCACCGTTCAGCGAGACGGCACCACCAGGCAGGTGTAAGGCCTAAATACCCGGGAGTAGCGTGGGGCTATAAGGGAAATATGTGGTGAGAAAATACCCTCTTATCGCCAAGCGCTTCACGAACGCACAAATCAGGGTCAGGACAAAAGGAAATTGACGTAACTTTCATTGAAAAATACTTCAAAAAGTTGTACTTTGCGCTCTTAAGACACAGATAACTTTTTTATATACTTGATCCACCATGCAGGCCTAAGGCCTACATACCCGGGGTACTGTGGGTCCATAAGGGTGTGAAATATGAGGCAAGAAAATACCCTCTGATCGCCAAGCGCTTCACGTACGCACAAATCAGGATAAGAAAAAAAAGAAATATAACACCTCCGGTAGTGACGTAACTTTTATTTGTTTGTTTGTTTCAGATTTATTTAGCATTAATGCCACTATTTCCATAATATCAATATTACACAGTATATCACAAAATATATTATGTCTTCAAGACTACATACATATTTTTATACAAAATTTCATTACTGTGAATTCTGGTTTTCCATGGGATATGTTTTCAATTTCACTTTGAACATTTTCAAACTGACACACATCTTGATACCATTACTTAATTTATTAAATTCGTACAATCCCTTTTGAAATACTGACTTCCTCTAGTAGAATAATTGTGGCACTCATTGTTGTGTTGTTGTGATTTTTCAACTTGAATATGAAAATGAAAACCAAGTAGGCTATGAAATTTTTGATATTTAACCATTGTAGTTCTTTCAGCATAAAATTTATTCTAGTATATTTATTTTTATTTAAGATGATTCTCATAGCTTTATTTTGTAATATTTGTAATTTTGAAAATACAGTTTCATTTGCAGTGAACAAAATAGTCGAACAATGTAACAAATGAGGACGAATGATAGTGCTGTACACATTTTTTTTAGAATAAACGCTTAGGCTATGCGAAATGCTATAAAAGTAATTTATTTTCTTGGATATTTTCGAAATAATATATTCATAGTGCCCTTAAAATTTTAATTTACTGTCTACGTATATGCCCAAATATTTAAATGATTCGATTGACACAATTTTTTCATGATTAATTGTAAGATTTATCGTATTTTGATCTAAAGATTTTCCTATTAGCATATATTTTGTTTTGTTTGTGTTTAGTTTAAGTTTATTTACATTTAACCAATTTATTACGTTTTTCATATCATTATTTAATAGCTCTATTGCAGTTTCAATGTCTTTATTTGAGATATATATATATATATATATATATATATATATATATATATATATATATATATATATACAGGGTTACAGGAAAAGTCGTGCTAGATCCGTTAAGGGCGTGTAGTACCCATCATTTCTGACTTATTTCATTATGAAACACCCTACCCTAAACTTAACCCTTTTCGAGATATTCATCTTTTAATGTTTTTATTGAAAATTGCCGATTTTTAGGCTACTAAATGTATTTATTTTTATTTTGTGTGTGTTATTATTACTATTATTGCATTTTAACATGTGTAATAAGATGCTTTAGGACGTCAATCATTAAAATAGTCCATAAGTTAATTGAATAGGCCGTAGTAGATAAGTGAATGTTAAGAAATTGAAAAAAATATCAGAAAGTTTATTTTTCTCGAAGGGATATCTAAAAAAATATTATGGCAATTGTTCGGCAGATGTGTTTTAAAATATCTATGTTTTATCAGCTATCTAACGAGGTATAACAATCTAGGATTTGTATTACATTTCGTAGAAAAAAAGTAGTTGGGACGCTCCAGTAGCAGTTCCCACGCCTATTCTCCTTCAAGTTTAGACGCACCGTGCGAGCGAGACATGACGATTTAATGTGGGTGCGAATGAAAGAAAACATATTATAATAACCGGTTAGGGCTGGAAATCCAACACGGGATGTTGTTTTGGTTGTCAGTCTGCTTTTGTGCTTCGTACATAGTAGATGTGATATCGTTTTGCTCTTTTCCTCGACTTGGCTACGATTCTGGACTATTTCTTCTGATTTGTGAATACTGTGCTTGTTCACTGGACTCTGATTTGTACTTGTGATACGGAACTGTTGAAGATGACGTCCTACACACCTGAGGAATATGCTGATATGCTTATTTGTTACGGATACTGCGAATGTGTATCTGCGCAAGCTCGCAACGAATACAGAACTCGCTTCTCCGGTCGTCGAGTGCCGGATGTGGCCGTTTTTAACAGAGTTTATCTAAGACTTCGAGAAACTGGCTCTGTTTTGAGACGAAATACAGACCTGGGAAGACCACGAATTTATGACAACGAAGAACTGCAGGACAATGAGATAGTGCAACGCTTTCGAGCGGATCCGACCATTTCCACTAATCGTGTTGCCCGTGATCTGGGACTTTCGCAATGGAGAGTGTGGTTTACAGTGCATACTGCTGGCCTATACCCGTACCATTACACGCCGGTACACACTATTGAAGAAGGAGACCCCGCGAGAAGGTTGGACTTCAGCAGATTTATGCTAAATGCTGACGTAGAAGACCCAGATTTTCTAAGAAATATCTTATGGACAGATGAATCCAAATTTGATAACGATGGCATAACTAACTATCACAACGCCCATTACTGGGCCCCAAAAGTACTAAGGAATCCCAATAAGAAAAGAGTGGCGAGGTCCCAACGAAGATTCAGCGTGAATGTGTGGATGGGCATTATCTCCAACCATTTGATTGGACCTTACTTTCTCCCGGACAATCTAAATGGGGAAAATTACGAAAACTTCTTGAGAGGAGACTTCAGAGATTTGCTGGATGATCTGCCACTCAACTTGAGAAGGGACATGTGGTTCCAACATGATGGCTGCCCTGCCCATTTCAGGAGAAGTGTCAGAGACTGGCTGGACACAAATTATCCAAACAAATGGATAGGACGAGGTGGGCCGTTGCCATGGCCAGCAAGAAGTCCGGACCTAACCCCCATGGATTTTCATGTGTGGGGGTGCATGAAAAGTCTTGTCTACAGCGAGCCAAATCCAGTTTCGTCTGTGGAAGAATTAAGAGAAAGGATTGTCGATGCAGCAAATCAACTAAGGACAACGTTGACCACTGCAGTTGTAAAGACTGGTCTCCGTAGAAGGATGCGACAATGTATTAGAAACAGAGGCAGCCATGTTGAACATGAACTGTAGAGTAAGAAAAAGTTGTGTGAAAACCTGATTTAATAAATGATATTTCATGCTTACCTATTGTTTTATTTTACTTTTTAGGGCTAAGTATCAATTTTCTTCTCCACTGTCGCCTATGAAACTAAGTTTTTTCAATGCATTTAAATAAAATCCTAGATTGTTATACCTCGTTAGATAGCTGATAAAACATAGATATTTTAAAACAAATCTGCCGAACAATTGCCATAATATTTTTTTTAGATATCCCTTAGAGAAAAATAAACTTTCTGATATTTTTTTCAATTTCTTAACATTCACTTATCTACTACAGCCTATTCAATTAACTTATGGACTATTTTAATGATTGACGTCCTAAAGCATCTTATTACACATGTTAAAATGCAATAATAGTAATAATAACACACACAAAATAAAAATAAATACATTTAGTAGCCTAAAAATCGGCAATTTTCAATAAAAACATTAAAAGTTGAATATCTCGAAAAGGGTTAAGTTTAGGGTAGGGTGTTTCATAATGAAATAAGTCAGAAATGATGGGTACTACACGCCCTTAACGGATCTAGCACGACTTTTCCTGTAACCCTGTATATTAATGTATCATCAGCAAATAGTTGAATTTTGCATTGTTTTAAAATATCAGGAATATCGTTAATATATAAAATAAATAGTAATGGACCTAATTTGCTACCCTGTGGCACACCTACCGAAATGTTTTTAATGTTTGATAATGTATTGCTAAAAAATTAGTTCTTTGACTTCTATTGATTAAATAGTTTCGTAATAAGTTGAATACTGAACCTTGAAATCCATAGCACTGCAATTTCGTTAACAATTTCTCCCTGTCAATAGTCTCAAATGCTCTCTTGAAATCTAAGAACAATGTTACTGTAAACTTTTTTTCATCCATATTTCGCCTCCATTCTTCTACTACCATTTGAATTGCTGTTTCAGTAGAAAACTTTTTTCTGAATCCTGCTTGAAATTTTGTCAATATCTTTTCTTCAATATATTCAATGACTTGTTCATATATGTTTGTATATAACTCAGAATTTTGCACTTTTGGAACAGGAGTAATTGTAGAACATTTTAATTTTGAAGGAAATACGCCATACACTAAACAGTGATTCACTAACAATAATAACTTCTCTCCAATAATGTTGAAACATTCCTTCATAACGATTTTTGAAAGATGTTCACTAGGATTTATATTCGATTTCAATCTTGTAATAGCTCTTCAAAGATAGCTGATATTTATTGTTTGGAGAAACAACACTAAAAACTTTATATTACAAACTCTCAATATATTTGTAGACACTGTGACAATAGTATACAGTAGGATCAGCATATTCGTGACAAAGGGGATATAGGGGGAAAGGGAAACGTCACATGGACTCTAGCGAGGGGACACGAATGCGTGGAACATGCACACATTCTCGTCATGGAGATCGACCAGCTGGAACGTCCATGCTCTGCAGTGAGAGAGCGTCTACCACCTACGGACAATCACAACATCCGTAGCTAGGAGAAAATTTAACTTCATAGCGTCTACTACCATGCTACCGCTATTCGTAAATAGATATTCGTCTGTACAGGTTATTAGGACCGGACAAGTCAATGCCTGCGGCCTTGAACTGCAGTATAGATGTTATATCACCATTTTCGGGTTTCACCAAGACTGATGCACAAGATGCGGAGAAAATCAGCGAAGTTTGCCAAAGTACTGCACTAAAGGAGCAAAGAAAAAGCGTTGATACCCAGAAAGCGCCGCCAGAGGTAAGTAGCTTCAGGTTAGTAATAAACTAGCAATACATCTTTCGTTCACCGACCACAGACAGCCAACCATGGACAGCTGCTTTAGCTCATCAGCATTGTATAAGCTTGGCTCCAGGTAGGACAACAAACAAAACCTGAACAACTTCCTATCCAGGATATAAGGTCTATCGAAATGCGACAGCACAATGCGAACTGGCATGCAGCTCTAACAGACATATTGATATTTTCACTCTCGCATTGGTCGATTCTGGTAATAGATGGCCCTTTGTGTTGTCTTATTTCGATAGCTTCAACAATGGAACTCCGTGTCCTATCGTTAACTAAAAATGTTGGTAACAACAATCCAACACTGGCTATATTCATCGACTTACAAAAAGCATTTGACATAAAAAACTATTGAGTAAATTAGAACACATTGGAATTAGAGGTATGCCACTTGAATTGCTAATTCAGATATTACATACAAATTTTCAATGAAACTCAAGTAAACATTTTATATCAAACATTGGTTGAATGCCATATAACCTATGGAATTATTATCTGGGGATCCACGAATAATAACCAAGTAATACAAAAACTATTCATAGAAACATTTCATAACAAACCTGTACTATGTCCCTCCAAATCGCTGTTTATAGAACCAAAACTTTTAGATATAAAAAGAAGAATTCCTTATTATCAAACATCGACCACTTATAAAAATTATTATTTTTTTTATACTCCAACCACCACGAAGGCCTAAGGCCTGAACACCCATGGGGTACCGTGGGGATATAGGGGGATACAGGGGAAAGGGGGGGACGCCACACGAACCTTGGCGAGTGAATACGTGTGCATGCAACATGCACACATTCCGGCCCCGCCTACGAGATCTGCCGGGTGGTACCTCTTGCGTTCGACAGTCAAAGACCGTCTACCACCTATGGACAATCACAACATCCACAGCCAAGAGAACATTTCCTCTTGGGACGGGATTCGAAGCCGCACAGCGCACGGCGACTGATGAGGAGACCGAAGAGTCTATTACCGCGGCCACCGCAGCTGCCCCATATATATATATATATATATATATATATATATATATATATAAATAAACAAATAATTATTGCAACACCGAAAAAAGAAATAATGTTGAAATCTTCTATATACAGTTCCAAAATTATATCATAACTTACCAAAATATATTAGAAAAAACCGAAAATCATTATTAAAAATAGAATTATATGAGTCGAGATTGTCGATCCAAAATTAATGTACATATTACATTTATATACCTATTATAGTTTTTTTCTTCAGTCCTACCAGTTTATTATTACTGCTATGTTTTCTGTATGTTATGTGTTAGCATGATATCCACATACAAGGATATTTTCCTTTTGTGGCATGTACATTTGTTCACAATTTGTAATTGATGTGAATAAATTATTTATTATTATATCGATATGATTCAAATTCAATCTGTATTCTGGGCATTCACAAAATCAACAAGTTTCGTTTCATTTCAGACGGCTCGGACATATCGAATTCTATTCAGTATCATTGCTGACACTTTTCAGCTATCGCTTTCGTTGATTAAAGTTACGTGGATTACTATTCACCAAAAAATTAAGTATACAAATGTGTTAGTTGGTATTCTCCAATTGTTGAAGAATACCATTTAATAAATAATGCGTCATTTCTTTGTTTTTCTCTTGCATTATCTTTCTTTCTAGGTTTTCCACTTTGGCTGCCTCCAAAATAACTCCCTTCCCCCGCTTATACAATTTGAATTGCATTTTGGGTATTGGTATTGGAAAACTTTAGGTTATTCGGATATAAATCGAAATTACTTTAAACCCAAACATGAAAGTATCGTAAAACATAGCCACACTAACTGAATTCGACGTACAAAGCCGGAGATAAGCGATAGAGACATACTGTGTGCCCATAAACCCAACTATTGACAACAGATTGAGTGCTATAGTACACAGAGTCCAAGTGCAGTATTTTTTGGAATTTGTTTTTCCGTTACTTGTATTCATCTGTTGGAAGAAAACACTGTGCTTTTAGCGTCGTTTCTATAGTATAAAATATACTAATGTCAAGCACTGACCGAGCATTGATCACGCTGTGAAGACCGGCATTTACGGTCGTTCCAAATGAATACGTTAGGTTGCTCCATTTCTTTAATAACCATCCCTGCTGCCTGCAAATGAGCGGCATGAACGATTTTGAACTCTACAATGTAACGGACAAATCTAGTCTCTTCGCTGTGAATAGTTTTTGGTTATGCCTGCATCAGATTTGGTATGATGGTGCGATCGTGAGTGGCAAGCTTAACGCCATGGCCATTATGTCTAGTTACAGCGTCATCGTATTCTTTATAGAAACATCGTGTCCGTAGCAACCGCTCTAATACTGCATTCTCAACGTCGCTCATCTAACACCCATATAACATCAAGCTGCACCAACCAGGGCCGTCTTAAGCTATGCAGCGGCCCTTGGGCACACGAGCAGCAGCTTGGGGCTGTGATTGAAGGGGCTCCAGGCCAAAGTGAAAGCCGCAGGGTTGTTACGTAAAAAACCTATATAATGTTAAAAAAACGACAAAATGTTGACTTGCTGACTAGATAGTTCCTAGTGTGCAAATAGTTCATACCGCTAAGAGCAGTGTGAGCGTCATCAAAGGTGATCTATGGAGAAATGACTCAACGACATGCTCAATGACCAGCTGCAAGTCGCCAGCATGGGTTGTTGGTTGCAGAATGCCGAGATAGTCTGTAGAGTGTGTCGATGAGAGGATGTGACATAAAGATGATTGGTTGGGTAGCATAGTAGCAAGATCGCATCTGAATAATTGTGTGTTTTGGTATGCATGCGTATAAAATCAGTGATATTTGCTATGTGAGACAATTATTACTGGATATGCTGCCCAGAAAGTATATCTAATAGCTGTTTATTTGTGTTGTCCTGTCTGAAGAGAGGTTATGTTCAAAGTTATAAATTACGGTTTTTCCCGTTTTTTGCGTTTTAAAAAACCTTGCGAAACATTAGGGGAAATCACCACCGCGCCCGCGTTGTGTATAATTAAGCCACATCACAGAAACATTAGGAATGACGCATCACACACAAAATATTTCCGCAGTGCCTCACATCCAGGCGCTGGTTTGTATTTTATACTTGACATCGTAAAATAAATTTCTATAAAATTTAAATGACTGGAAATTAATAATAACTTTTTCACGTTTCATAAATATTCCGGTCTGTGACATATTTTCTCACCTGTTGATTGTTACCAACCAGCGATTTTCTTTTCTTATCTCTCTCATTTTTTAAAGTCAACAAAATTGCTTATGTAATTTCTAGGATGAATAAGAAAAAGTGAATGCGCAACTAATTTCTAGCTATCTGTGACAAAAAAAACCAATAGAATTATCATCAACACAGATTATTAGGACGCGAATCCTCGCTTTGCATCTATGCACCGCCGTTTCCTTCCAGCTAAAGTATACAACGTACAGCTTAGTCATCCAATAATGCCATCTCTGAAGCAGATGTGACATCACATCAGAGCCAAACATTGATAGCTGAAGCGTAATGATGTTTAGGCAACACGTACAGCTACAGAACGAGTGCACATCAAGTGGACAACAGCTTATTCCAAATTGGCATCTTGTAGAAAAACCTACATAATGTCACTATTCAAGATACATAATACCTCTGCCGGCCCGCTTTTTTGCCGTTGGGAAAACTGAAAAGGGGGAGGTGTAGTCGGACATTTTGGTTTTTTGGACATTTGGGGGCCGTCCATCAAGCCGGACCTTGTGTGCCCATATAGTAATGATGGAATAGGCGCCAACTTTGTCTTTAGAGATGAGAGTAGCGGGTCACGTCGAGATTTTCACACTTTTCTTCTGCTATTTATCAAGAGGGTGACTCGAAAACGAAGGAACACACTTTGTCTTTAGGTCTGAGACTGGTGGATGACGAGGAGATGTTCTTTCTTTATTTATCAACCGAGAATACAGCCGCTCAAAAAAGTACTAGAGCGTCGTCCACCGTTTATTAATCTTTCCACGCCCTCATTTCCAAGAAGTTTACCTCTAGCAGCTGAGTTCACATAGTGCTTTCTGTCAACAGCTAGGCAAAAATGATCGTAACTAATGATGTTGATGTGAAGGTTACACGATCAGTGTTTACTGTGGTTTGTGCCATCAGTATTCACTGATAATTTCGCCAGTGTCAATAATTACTGACGTCCTGCCTACATGATCAATAAATATCATATACCATGATAAATACCTATGCATTGCAGTAAATACTGATCATGTGTCATTTTCCTAAATTTTACTAATTAAGATTTACGATATTTCAAGGCCGTAGCAGATGGACTTACGGCAAAGTTCGATAGTAGAAAAAATCATGAAGATGGCCCTTCTGGGTTGCCCGATGTAGAATCTAACAACGAAGACATAGATGTTGATGTAGAGACGGTTCCTCCAATTAATTTGCCTGTAGATCCTTTGCGAGTTGATACAAGGAGTATCTTGCCGGTAAGTTGTATCTTCCACATATGAGGATACTTGAGTTTTATAATATATCTCAGGATTATACATATTTTTATTTTACTTTTTAAAAAGTCCTTTTGAGAATCTTTATTTCACATGATGATCAACTATTTGTTGATTTTCAAGGCATAGCCTTCCACTCATACTTGCTGCAAGCCAAAGGGCGTTAATGTCATTCAGTTGTTATAGACAGAATCTTCTGCTCTCGATTTTTTTTAATCGCCAGCTCACCCCCCCTTCCCTCCACCCGTTATTCATTTGCAAACAACATAGCGATGGAGTATTTTGATTCATACCAGTGCCATGACTAGAGGAACGTTTCCAAACTACTCATTTTTAACGCTTTCTTTGAGCATAATTTTCACCAATTTCTAGAAGTTTGATTACCCTGAAACTCCGCACATGTATCAAGGACCGATGACAACGCAATAATTTGATAACAGTTTTCCCTTGTCCTTATTAGGGCCGCCAGGATTGATAAATTCTTTTATAGATCCTCTGTAGGGAAGTACGAGAGATAGAGCTAGTGCGCATGCGTGCAGTTTGTTGGAGCAGGCACTCGGCACAACATAACGGAGGCAGATACTTTTTCAAGGTAGTGAATTCTCACCTTGTTCATTGCCAAGATGCATGGTTGTACAGTCGATCATGCAGTCATTTATCTATGCTCGCGACACTTGTATTCGGATTGAAGAACTTGTTCAACAGGAAAAACCCCATGCAACAGTGAAGCTTTAAATGAAATGATTAGATTACGGAATGAAAAATAAATAATAGTTTAAAAAACTAAAAAAATACGCTTTTATAGCTGACCGAACTAAAAAGTAGAAAATAATTTTTGATTACAAAAAGTTTATATTACAGTAGTAAATGGTCTAAAAATCAATCATAATTAATGACATCAAGATGAAATTATAATAAAATTTAAGCTATCAACAGAATCATTCAATTCAGAGTAAAAAGCGTGGGGTGCTTGATATTGTAACAGGAATAAATAGTACCGTTGGCTTCTTCATGGCCGATCTCTGTTGGGGACCGTGCCAGTCTCCTTCGGTCGCAACATCTGTTGAGGACCATGCCAGTGACTCGCCTTCTAGATGGACGCGAAGTGACCTCGAATATTCTACACTTCCGCTTTGTGTGCATTTCTTTTTGTCGAATCCAGTGTTTTAATCCACACCCAAAAGAACCCAGAAAAACGCTGGAGTAGTGTTGTAAAGTCTATGTTGGAGTATGCAAAATGAATAAAAAATGACACTAGTACCGATTATACGTTATCACAGATTATGCAGATGCGACACCTGCTGTCGGTCCCTTTGATCTTCGTGTCCCGCTTATGTTCACTAGCGTCCGGATGATTTTTTCCTAGGGGTTGTTACGCGTTATTAGCAAGACGTCATATGTCAAACAACATAATCAAAAAATTTATTTACCCACATGCATTTTGGCTAGATAATTATTATTATTTCTGAAAAAGCTATTTTATATATTTATATATAGTATTGATGAAACTCGAATGTTTTGGATAACCCCTAAATCCTACATGTCACAGCAACACGAATCCCAGCAAACGCATAATTTTGCGTTGATAGAACCTGATTTTTGACAGAGTGTCGCCTCTGTATAATACTCTGTGACGTTATAATATAACAATGGTTGCTGTAATCTGTAGTCTTTTACGTAATAAGGCTGCATTACTAGCATTTATCGATATATTTGACAGTTTTGACAATCACAAATACCACATATCTAAACGTTAACAATTACCTGTAACCCATTGAGTTCCTATGACTTGAATGCCAATTTTAACATACACATATGCGCTATTTGCGATTGTTCAATCCCTCATTTTATACTTTATTTGAATCGACAGGAGCCCCAAAAAGGAGAAAAACGCGATCTAATTCCGTTTACGAAGCCGGCAGGAACTAAGTCTTTGCACAAGAGCCTGCAGCTGTCCAAAAGAAAGAATGACAGCGGGTCGATCGAGCAAAACGGGCCACAAGAATGGGACTCTGATCGCGGGTCGGTGAAGACAAAGGCGACTAAAAAACAGTCACATTCTATTTATATTGATAAAGAGAATGGCAGCATTCTAAAGGCATTCTATGTAGATTATAATCTGGTAATATGTCAGGAACGCTGCGTCTCCTTCTGGATGCAGACGTCTTTGGGTAAGTTAATAGATATACAAAATTAGGGAAAAATAAAAGCTAGCTAAATAATAATAGGCCATACAGTGCAAGTTTACGTCCTCTCTTGTTGAGTCTCTATATTGGGCATGGTGTCGGTGCGGGGTCAGGTACCCGTGTTTGACGACAGAGGGCGTTCCTGAGGGAAGTTGGTGTTATCATCGTGTACTCTATCAAACGACGGCACAACAAATTTCAGACTGATTGATAGGTTGGTTTGGATTTGGCAGCCATTCGAGTAACACGTGTTTCGTGATTTTCGCTAAGATGGAAAAAGAGCAGTATCGTTCGGTAATTCGCTTTTTGTTTTTGGATGCGAAAAAATTGCGAGGAAACTTGGATGCTGTTTATGGGGACACTCCGCCATCTATGACCACAGTTAGATATTGGTTCAAAGAATTTAAACGTGGGCAAAAAATTCGTCCCGATGGGTGCCGAGATTGCTCACGGTGGGGGGTTATAAAGTACTGCCCCCCCCCCGTATTCAAACGATCTGGCCCCCTGCGAATTTTTTCTTGTTCCCTAACATGAATAAATGGCTCGCGGGAAAGAATGTAGCTACAACGAGGGGTTAAAAAAACGTTTGGAAAAGTGTATCTTTCTATAAGGGGACTAAATAGTTTTTTTTAAATGGTGTCTTCATTTCTAGCACGAATACTTATTGAACCGCCCTCTTATTGTAATCTCGAAAATGAGAATATTATTTGTTTGATGTCATAATATGTGACGTTTACATTACGAAAAACCATGTTACTCATTTTCGTCGGTCCGTCAGATTGTCTGTCTGTCCGCTAATCCTTGACTCCGCTGTAACTCGAAAGGTTTCGGTTCGATTTTAATGAAGTCCTTGCTGAAGTTAACACTGGGTCAACCACGAAAAAGCTTTGCAGCATAAAGCGACGTTTTAGAGGCTCCTGCTAAAAAATATGAAGGGGTTAAAAATTGGGTTTATAGGGGGCTGGGAGAAGGTAGTCATAGCAACGTTACCAGAAGGTAGGTACTATCGCTGGGGCACAAATGTCTGGATCGTAATGTTGTCGAACGGGTAGAGATAATGGACTGTTCTATATACTTAATCCATTCAATTTTATTATTATACAACTTCGTAGCTAACTTTTTTCTAAGAGGGGCTAACTTGTGCCGAACATAATTATTTATGAGCTGATAAAATCATTCTGTGCAAAGTCTGGAGTCAATTTGCTTGACTCCATTTTTTTTGCTCATGCTGGAAAAATAGCCTTAATTTTTTATGAACTTCTGCATTTTTATATACTATACATCATCAGCCAGCTTCCACAGAAGGTTCTTTTAAATACAGCATTCATTGTCCACTTACTAATTATAATTCACAAATTACGGACAATCTAATGTTGTATGTATCCAGGGTTGCCTCCCGAAAACATACATGCTGGCTTACTGAAATGCATGTATGGTAACAAACTAAGCGCCTAGAGTGCCTATCAGTTCACGGGGTGAACATTTGTATAGGTGAACTACGAGTATATATTTGTTCACTGGGATAAATTATGATGGCACCTAGTTTACCTTTTGCCTCTAATCCAATTACCTCTTGTGTGGCCTCCTCAACAAGTTAGATCGTGTGTAACGACTACTGTTGTAGAATTTCTAGGGCCTATGTCATTTTGCTTTCGGGGTCATGAAAACATGTTTATCGTACAAATCTGTCAAAGTAGCATCCATTCATATTTTGCTCAGGTAGGACTTTCTGGAAATATTTCTTTTTTATACACTATTTTCATCCGGTTCTTGTGTATGCTGTTGCAAATAAACATGGAGTCTTGTGGCCTAGTGATGCGCTTTAGACGATCCGCTAGGGATACCAAAGAATCGTCAAGCATGACGTCTTACAGGTCAGTATATTGTAAAGACCAGATATAAGACCAAATTAAGGCTTTTAAATGCTCAATTACTACTGATCGACGTGCGAAACTTGACCTAGACGTGTCGCAATGTGATACAAACATGTCGTCCTTGACTTCGCCCCCAAATTTAGAACAATTTCACATCTTTTAGGTCATGTTCTGGGCTCCCAGGATATGTGGATTCCTCGCGGCGCAGCCCAGAGGATAACTTTAAAGCAACACCAATGTATTGAAAAGGAATCTATGGAGATGGTTCTATCAACGGAAGCAACAGTGGCATATATTGAACTGTGGACTAAAGAGCATCAGTCGGAGATGCGACAAAGGCCGGTGGCAGACGTGTTTGCTACTGTATATTTCTGGAAACAACGGCAAAAAGGGATTGAGAAGAAGGTTCTGCAGCTGGAAAATATCAATGGGTAAGTTGTCCACCATAGAGATTTTCCAAAAGTTCATTACTAGAACAATAAGAAAACAATAAAAATGATATGCTTAAGAAGACTTCAATGCACCAAAAGCTCTAAGACAGTCTGCGGGAGGTAGCTGTATTTTTGATTGACCACGGTTTATTCAGGGCACAAATACAGCACATATGATTACTGTATCATGGCCCCCTTTGTATTAAATGTGGAGGTCCAGAAGAAACTGGAAAGTATGTCTGCCTTACTCTTAAGGCAGATGTCACAGGTTATGTAGAACTACGCTGATACTAAGGGATCCATCACCATAAACGAATGGTACGGACCACAGTAAATACTGATCGTGTAGCATTCGCCTTATGGATCGGACTACCTTGTTGACATATCAAAAGGCTACGCAGGTAGTCGAAATAACTTGTATACGATTCTACCCTTACCGAGCGGGGGCCATGGCTAATGCTTGTTCCGGCAGTTGTTGCACTCAGTATACAACTTCTGCCCGTTCAAGTGATTGTACACACGTTAAGTCTACTAACGGACCACTTTAGGTCTGTTTAACACCATTACCCCCCAAATTTGTTTGCTGCCTGTATCGCTCTCCCTCAGACCATAAGTAGGATGACCTACTTGAATACGAGGTCAAAATCGACTTGAACATCAATCATCCTGCTTCAGAGGTAGTTCTCCTTGATGATTTCAATGACCATAATGAGCTGTGGTTGGGCTCAAAGAAGATCGATACAGCAGGTCGTGCTGTTGAAGCAATCTCTATTACCTAAGAACTGACCCAGCTGGTAACGAGCTCTTAAGTTTTTCTCTTTCTGATCACGCATCTTGTTCCTTAAATCACTGCTGTTCTGTCTGCCACCAGATGTGGCCAGGCCGCAAAATTTGGCATTAAGGGCATGATGATGGGAAATAGCACACATAATCTTCTTACAAAACCCCTCTGTATAGAACAGACCAGCCGATGCCGAATCCAGAAACAAATATAACCAAGCGGTTCGCAATGCCAATTACCAGCAAGTTGCAAAATTAGTCACAGGGTAATGTTGTCACGTGCCAAAATCACGTAACTTTTTTTTTACTATTTTGATCACTTACTAGTAATCTGAATTTCTCTGTATTAATGATATAGTGCCCATTCCTAGGCCAAACATTTTTCAATTACTTTCTTTTGGCAAATTTCATAGTTTGTGTTGTAAAAAAACTAAAACAACTAAACGTATGAAGGGGTACTACTCCACTAACTGGTGTTCGGCACCTTATATCCCAGAATCTGGAGATCAAGCAAACGGCGCTCACACCACAATCTCAGGAGGAAAGTGACTAACACGAAATACCTAACTTTATAAAGGAAGGTTCAATGAGTGGCCTTGAAGAGGATATGAAGAGAAACCCATTAACGGAGAAAAAACACATTTTTCCAACACAATACTGAATCACTGAGAAAGAAAGATATAACTCGTGTGAAATTATACAATCAATAAACTATGAAATTTACCAAAAGAAAGTAATTGAAAAGGGTTTGGCCTAGGAATGGGCACTCTATCATTAATAAAGAGAAATTAAAATTACTAGTAATTTATCAAAATAGTGAAAAAAAGGTTACGTAATTTTGGCACGTGACAATGTCGCAGCGCATTGGTAGTCGGTCTTTCTTGACGCTGACCAAGCAGAATAAGGGGAACTTCTCAAAGAGTAGTCTTCCACCGCTTACGTGTCAGGATGAAAAGATTATAACCAACTCAAAGGCTAAGGCGGAAGTCCTTCGCTGCCAACTCCATCAAGGACGTCCCCCCAACGTCCGAGTGCCGTCGATTTAAGCGGTTCCCTACCCTATGCGAGAAGTAACCTTCAGGCATAAGTCCGTAAGACGGGTGCTCTTGGCGCTCGACATCAACAAAAAGCTTCTGACTTGATTCCATCTGTTGTACTGAAGAGATGTGTAGCAGAGCTGCTCCAGCTCTTTCGCGTCTCGCCCAGATATCTTAAGAATTCACTGTTTTCCCAGAAACTGGAATTTTACCCATGTCCAGCCCATCAAAAAAAAAAATCTAATACCCACCCTTACAACTACAGACCTATAATAGCTTTGCGTTCTGTTATAAGTAAGTTCATGGAGAGGTGCATACATCGGGAGCTTCTGAAGTATCTTGAAGTCACGGCCTGATTAGCGACAGTCAATATGGTTTCCGGCTCCACCGATTGGCAGGGGACTTCCTAGCTTACGTCACGCAACTGTGGAGTAATCTCATCCAAATATGATGGGGCTCATGTCGTTGCTTTTGATATCATGAAGGCGTTCTATCAGCTGTATCATGATGATGCCAACTTATGCAAACTTCCATCCTAAGGCCTCCCAGAGAAGCTTAGCACATGAGTGGCTGACTTCCCCGCTGATCGCAAGACATCCGTTGTAATTGTTGGCTTCTCCTCTTCAGCTATCAATGTCAACGCGGGTCTTCTCCAAGGATCGGCCTTGGCTCCGACATTGTACCTCTCACATATCAACGACCTCCTTTCCGATCCTCAACTTTGCTGATGGACTTGTCATACAAGAACTCAGAGGGATAAGCCTATCTTTGCCAGTGAGCTGGAGAAAAGGTGACTATCAGCGACTTCCTCTCTGAAGAGAGAATTGGAGTTTATCACTGGTTGGGGTCGCAACAATTTGGTACAGTTTAATGCTTCCAATGGACAGGAACCGCCTTAGCTCTGATCCGGTTTGCATAAAATGCTGCGTTCTACTAAACAGCCGTTCATTTCGGCTGGTCGGAGTCCAAATCACCGAGGACTGAGCTGACACGAAGTCATCTCGTCGATCGCGGCAGCTGCTGGGAAAAAGCTATGCTGTTTGTTTAGGCTAAGGCCCAGATAACATCTAGCCTCGAGTTCTGCTCACCTGGGGTTTCGGGTGCTGCCGCCTAGGCTACATTATCCATCCTCGATGCTAAGGATGGTTATCCTCAGAACTCTCCTCCATGATGCCGCCCCACGATAAGCCTGACAGACAGACCCGCCTGACTTCGGCCACCCATCCTAACCGTTTCGAACTTCGTTCATCTAGAACTGGCAGATAAGACCGCTCCTTTATCCATATGGTGCTCCTTTATTCATATGGTATCGAGATTGTAGAACAATCTGACTGAGGAGGCCTTCCCTAGTCCTACTAACAATATAGACAAAAATCGTCTCTCTAAGCTTCATAATACCTGTTACTGGGGTTTGCATTCTAAGCTTATGGCCGAACTGAAGCTATTAGGGTTAGGGAACCGAACCCCAAGCGTCTTGTAACCGCAAAAAGGCACGAATCATAATGGAGCTTCAAAAAATGACTTCAGCAGCTTTGATATTAGTTTTCAATATGCCACTGCAACATATTTAAAAAACATATAGTATTCATTGTATATTTTCCGAGATTGGTATTATTTTCTACAGGTTTGCGGACGATGTTCAGTATTCAGTGATGAAGTGTGTCCCGAAGATTGTGGTTAGTTGGCATTGTGCCAGTGATGACAATATGCCTAAAAGGACGTTAATTCATTGCTATGATATGGCGCCTGATTACCAAACTGTGTCCAATATATATGATATTGAGCCTGTTCAACACTATGTTTCTTCATTACACAATGTTGAAGGTGAGTAATTGAAAGTGTGCGGAGTCGCCGCAGGAAATAACTTCGAAGCATATATTTTACTGCTTATGTGTATGGGTGACTTTAAAAAGTTTGCAAGTGTTTAAATATTAATTTATATTATACCAAAATATCCTTGATCGTATGAAACACTTCTAATGAATGTTTATCCTTGTTTAGATTTGGGACACAAGTTTGGTCCATAATTTCGATGACTTGTTGGTGCATTGCCTTACAATTTACTATAATATTGTATCATCAGTTTTATGTCTCATAATTTTTAGATTGTGAAAACTTGATAATGGGCTGTGGAGAAAACAAGATCACCTTATGGAACATAGAACATCGATCCAAAATTGCTACCATAGAACTATCTGAAATCAAAACACCTTTGTCGACATTATGGGTGAAATGTGACAGGGTAATAATTGCGCTTAATGTACAAAAACGGTCTTTTAATATTCTTGTTTATTTGTAGGGTTTTCTTTTTGCTTTACAACAGTGTCTGGATCGAGAACTTCGTTTGATAGCGATTAATGGTTTGAATAATTCGTGGAAGAAGTTAGCTAGTTACTATCCTCCCAGCGGTTTTGACAGGTAAGATAGACTTTTTTAGTGGCGGCTATGGATCGAAAATGTTTTACCACTTCACCTTCAGGGAATGCTACTTACGATGATCGTTCTTTAAGGAATAATTCAATCAATTTGAAACCTTAATTTCATGTAGATTATGTTAAATATGGTGCATTTGGCTTATAAATGTCGGCGTCAAACGCTGAAATCCGTAATTCCCTGAAATGCCTAGTCAGTCCCCGTATTGTCGGCAAATACCGTAACAGTTTTATTATTACAACGTTTGACTAAGCATTTCAGTTATTTCCTGTAATCACTGAAAAATTTCAGTCAAACAGCGTAACAACCACATTAACTTCGTTACTCCATTTGCCTGATTCAGTCATTCATTGTACCAGTTTTGTGTTCATTTGCTTGAGTATATACGTGTTTTCTGTGTTTGTAAAAATGTCATAGCATTCAGAATTGTTTTACAAGAAACTAAGTGAATACTATCACAGTGTGAATAAGAAAAAACCATGGAATATAAGTGAGTTAAAGGAGATGAGTTAATTTTTATAATTTCTTGAACCTAACCTAAATTATAACGTACATAGGCTTGCTCAACAGCAGCATCCAGTTGCTGGATTTCGTATACATGATTAAAAAACAATAATGTAATATAATAATGAAGACGTTTTAATCTATCCTTCTTTCCTTTTAGATTAATTCATCCTTGATTATTTTTCTTTTAATATTATTGATAAAGTAGTACCTTGTTATATTATGTATTTCGTTGGAGCAATGCTGTATTGATTACAGCGTTTGACTAAAATAGGCGAATGCAGTAACGAAGTTTATGTGGTTGCTAAAGTGTTTGACTGAAATTGTTCAGTCATTACAGGGAATGACTGAAATGCTTAGTCAAACGTAATAATCAAACTTACGGTGCTAGCCGGCAATACGGGGTCGGACTAGGCATTTCAGGGAATGACGGATTTCGGCGTTTGACGCCGACATATGCACTGAAAACCAAATTTTTCTGACGGCTTGAGTTCAATGTGTACGAGAGAGAAGTATGTTTAGACACATACATATGTTAGAAAGAGATAGAAGCCAGCTGGATAGCGAAGCTCATCACCGGATTGCCTAGCAACGCTGCCGCGGCAATGTGCCGCGTTGCCAATATGTTACACCAGTTCCTTGAACTAAGATGCATGTTGAAAATATGCGTTAGTTTATTCTCTATGCCCAAATAATGGTTTAATTTTGAACGTACAAATTTTTGAATTGTGTCGAACCTATTTAGGATCAATACCGGATCGATCCTGACGGTGCTCCAATGTAAGTCGAAATGAAAAGTCAGGATCTCCAGAAATTCTGCAACATTGCATCATTGGTTCGCTTAGCTATACCGTACATTCCAAGACAATGTTTCCACCTCCATGATCATAGAAGAGCGATTTTGATCAGTACCCATCTGTCGCTCATTGGGGAGTGTCGTTCTGCTTCGAAAAGGTGTTCACCTACGTACCCGCAGGCAGTGATAAGTTGTATTGCATAACATTATTTGTTACATTTTCCGACCGCAGCGCTGTCGCAAAATGTAACGATAACTTGAGATGTGTTGATTTTATCTCCATCGGTGGAAATCAAATGTAATTCTAAAATAAGTTACTCTAAGTCGTATAAAAATTGAAATAAATAATTTTAATCAAAATGAAAACAAAATATTAAATCGAATGTTCGAACAGACCTGCTTAGGTTTGACAGTAAAGTAACCTATTGTAGAAGCCTGTGCGAACATTTTCTGGTGTAACCTATTGGCAACGCGGTAGATTGCACGACCTTCTGCGTCATAGTTGCTAGGCAATCTATATTTCTCTTTCTAACATGTGTTTATACTCTTCTCGCGCTTCTCTCTCGTACACATTGAACTCAAGAAGTCAAACAAATTCAGTTTTTCCTGTATAAACATTGAAAAACAAAAATATATTGCTTCTGTATACATTCAAAATATGTACTTTTATACCATATATCTTCTTAAGCCACCTCTCTAATTCAAGAATGCCTCTTTTTCTTATGCATGTTAACATGGCTGTTATGCCGTATGTTACTACCGGGTAGATGCATGCTTCAATTATTTCCAATTTCACTTCTATAGAAGCATTGGAGCTGAAGCCAATGATTGGAGACAGAGTGTAAGAATAGATCCCTGAGGTATTCCGAAGCATTGGTGGTATATTTTTGTTTTGTGATGATTGTTTTTGCCGCGGACTTGTCGGACGAGTAGTTTTTTTTATAAACATGATAACATTGTTAGGGATGTCCGTTTGTTGTAACTTATAAATAAGAGCACTATGAGTAACAGAGTCAAAGGCTTTTAAGAGGTTTTTAGTAACCGCTGCTACGTGATGTCATTGACCGAGTGCATCTGTAAGGACTTTAACTGTTCGGAAAAGTTGCGATTGTGTTCCCTTGCCTTTAGTAAAATCACCCAAAACCATGCAGATATTATGGAATGATTTTACTGATAGTAGGCATGATTCGTTGAAGTTTCGGCAATTTTAGCCATTATATCGAGCAAAGTGATTGGCCTGATTTTGGATATTCACCACCTTTATGGAGAAATATCATTTCACCCAATTTTCAACGTTGAGTATATCCAGGACTAAGAATCAAATTTATAACATGAACCGGTTGAGCTTTAACTGTGGCCCCTGCATCTTTTATAGCATTTATTTGAATACCATCTTCTCCTGGTGCTTGTGAAGATTTAAATGTGTTCATTACATTATTCAATTCTCGAAGGGTTGTTTCATGAAGAGGTGAGAATGGGGGATGGTTTTCTGATCCCTTGAGGCTAACTTGAATATTTGTTTCTGGAACTAAAGCGGCGTTACCAAGTTCGTCCCGTATCTCAACCTAGTTTCCACTCCGAGGAATTTTTATTTCATGCCTTAAGGCTTTCTGAATTCTCCAGAGCTTTTTGTTATGATTACGTTCATCCCGCAGGATTTTCAAGGAATATGTTTCCTCTTTTATATTTGACCTTTGATTTTTTGTTTTAAGTCACATAGTGCGTGTAAAATAGCCGGGTCCCTGGTGGACCGGTACAGTTTTTGCAGCTGATTCTTAAGTTGAAACTTTTCTTGCGTGTCGATTCTAGACTTTTTTTTGTGTTTCTGTAATAGGAACATGTAAGGCTCCTCGTTATGCCTATCTCAAGCTGCATTTTGATCTTCTCACAATTGCTGTTGCTTATTATAGGAATATTAAAGAATAAGACTGTTTGATTTGAGTTTGCTTATGAATCTCACAACTTTTTCCATTCCATTTTTGTTTTTCTATAAAAAGCCGCTTTTTCAGGTTCAATTTTCTCATAAACCATTTTGTTTTACATTGTCATTGACAAATAAAGTGTATTAAAAAATGAAAATTTGTGTCAAATTTTGACAGTCTTGTCTAATTATGTTGTCAAGTGGGCTGCGTTCATAAATTGTTACAAAGTGTACTACTCTGTAAAATTTTTAGCGTTAGTAATTGTTTGATGTACCTGTTCCATGTGTTTAGAAATCGAGCAAAATAATTATCATCGCATGTCAGAATTGCTTTTTCCTTCCCGTGCTCAAAACCTTGGGAATAAGAATGTTGTCAATTATCATTATCATAGTGCATAGTTTTGTTTGTTTGTTTTAGATTTATTTAGCATTAATGCTACAATATCCATAATATCCATGTTACACACTATATCACATAATATGTTATGTGTTCAAGACTACATATTTTTTTATACAAAATTTCACTACTATGAACTCTGGTTTTCTACGAGATATTTTTTCAATTCCCCCTTGAACATTTTCAAACTGACACACATCTTGATATTATTACTTAATTTACTAAATTCGTACAATCCATTTTGCTCGTTATATTGCTACTGCAACTCCCTCTACTAGAATACTCACTGTTCAATACAATAAAATTTGCTGAGTGATTTGGTAGAAGATGATTTTTTATCTTAAATATGAAAATAAAAACCAAGTAGGTTATGAAATTTTTGATATTTAACCATTGTAGTTCTTTCAGCATAAAATTTATTCTAGTATATTTATTTTATTTGGTAGAATTTCTTATAATAAATACAATGACATGACTGTAATAATTTAGGCGTTCTAAAAATAAAGTTTCACAGTATTCTAGAGTATGATTTCATGTGTAAAATTACATTTCATTATTGTATACGATATTACATTATCAAGTGAATAAAGCATTCTGAAGGGAGTTTAAGTAAACGAATGATGATGGTCACTTCATCATTTTTTTTTTCAGACTACGAGGCGTATGTATAGAAAACGGCATGCTGCTGTCATTTTACGACTCAGGCGTTCTATGTTGGAACGCAGAAACTGGAGAACCTGTTGAGGAGATACCATTGGAGACTGAATTGATTCCTGCAGGAAAGTACGTTATTTTCCTGGAGGACACTAGGGTGATTGTCAAACATGTCATGACCCATCTTATGTCCATATCTGCGGACGATTATTAGGCTTTCACTTCGACGGTTTAGCCAGAACGTAGGTATTAGAAATTATTTAGTTGAATTGGAAGAAGCTATTTTCTTAACTATTGTATTCAAGAACCGATGAGGTATAGTGGCACTGAAAACTGCTGGAAAAGGTTTGATAAACGTGATTTCATCCCAATAATAATTTGTTATTACAACAGACGAACACTTGAATACGTCAAACCCTGTGCAATAGCTTTTATCTGTGTAAACAGTAGAACTGTCAAAAACATTGATGAACATTTCTATACTTGTAAACCGTGATTTCAAAATTTTTCGATTCTATCCTGATCAATATTCAAAGTCCATCTCACCCAACACTACAATTATTTCTTTATAATTCGTATAATTTAAGAAACCATTAGAGTTTTAATAATTGCGAGTAGTATTGTAGTGTGTTATTGTTATTATGTCAGATCTACTAGATCATGTTATCAATTGTACAAATTAACGTGCTAGATAAAAACGTATTATTTTAATTTTTTTGTTTTATTGAATTTTTATGAATTTTTCTTAATTGGTATACCTGTGTTCAAAATTCGTGACTTACTGAATATTCAGCAGTTGCTTAAAAAATATTTTTCACGAAATAAGTCATGGAGACCTGACTAAAATGTATATTTGACTCAACATAGAAATGTGTCCAGAAATTGGAGGATAATCATGATCTCTATTATATGACAAAATTTTGTTTTCTAAAAGTTTTATGCTTTTCGAGATTTGCAGCATTTGATTTTTTTGTTAAAAAACTGGCTTGCATTCAGTTAATTCTTTGCCACTTCTACAAATAACATTTTTGAACCAGATTTGTTTCAGAACACTCACAATTAAGCACTTTATTCCTGCCAGTATTATTTTTCCGTAAATTGGCTAGAAAAAGAGTTAAAGCAATGTCTAAACTTTAATAAAAGGTTGTTCTCAATCTGACACCCTATCGTGAGAGGATCAAGTGTGATCACTGTGCCGATCAGATGAAAAAGTTGGTTGGTTATTGACAATTTTTAAACGGTATTATTTTGCAAAGTTTGCTGTCATTTTATTTCAGTCACAATAACAATGGATGAGGGTCAAGTTTAGCAAGTATCAATAAATAGTGTTTTTTGACTTGGAGACAAAAAAAAACGACAGGACTGATAAGGATAATTTATGTTTAATTCATTAATATTATGGTGAGAAATATGAAAGGCTAAGCAGTTGGTTTCGTAGAAAATCCAGAGCTGTCTTACTCCTACTGAGTAAGTGGATCTGGTGCTGCAGCCTTATTTCATTGGCAACAAGATTGCTATACCTGTATCCACAATTTTTTTATGGAGTTGCTTTTCGAAAATTGTACACCAAGCTAAGCTGACCATGGTAACAAAATTGAACCAGCCTCAAGCATGCCAGGGGTAATTCTGGCAAGTTGAAGTGTTTTATGAAAAAATGTAGGTCATGTATAACAATAAATTGTGCTCATTACATCAACAAATATAACATAAATTATCATCCAGCACTGTTCCTGCGCTTTTTTGTATCCAAGCCAAAACATGTAAATTTATTGATATTTGCTACATCTCATGCTCCTCCATTATAACTGCAATTAAAAAAAATAACAGAAAAGTAAGAATAACAATAAAAATCGTTTAAAAATTGCCATTAACCAACCACCAACCAAATCAGATGTGAGAACGGATATTTATTAAATTGCAGACTTTGGTATTGTTTTTATGTGGGTTTCTCTTACTGGGTGAGATGCAATGCTTAATTAAGCATTACATCAGAATTGCAATGTTCTTGAAGCAAACCCGGTACAAAAATGTTATTTGTTGAAATGGCAAGATATCAACCAGATCAAAAAATTACATACAAAAGCAGTAAGACTAAATAAAATGAAAACCCGTAAGTAGGCCATGACGTGAACTATTTGCAGCTGCCGGAATACCCTTCAATTTCTGGACATCTTGTTTTATGATATATCAAATATTAGAATAATGAATAAATTATAGCCAACAACTGTCCTCTGTCATATATTTAGTACTCAGTATAAGTTCAAAAGTATTTTATTGCTTTATGTCATCTGAAGAATATCGAGTTTCTACAAAACTGGTTTTGTATATACACAATTGTATATTTGATTGAGTTATAAAATATATTTATTGATTTGATTAAAATATGTAGTTTTGTAAGAAACAATATTGAGAACATATTGAAATTTTGATAGTGGCATGAAGAAATTTAGTAATATATTTTATATTCAAGGTTTTTTATCTTTCATATTTGCTGGAAGTATTATAGACAATGAATGAAACCTTATTTGTAAGGATGTATGTTTATTTTTACATTTTACAACAATTTTAACTTAAAAATCTAGAGAATAAACCAATACAAATGCAGTTATCCAAATACTTGAAAAAATACTGCTACAAAAAAAGAATACATATATAATACAACAGGCTTAGTTCACAAGGTTTTAAAAGTGACTTCTTAACTACTGTGAAAATGTATTTTTACATATACCATTGAAATAAGATAAATGATTTTAATATCCACAAACAAATGTGAATTCAAGTTAAGGAATCTTGTAAAAAGTTAAACTTATATCAGCACGTTATGCGAGACTATTTTAAAAAATGAGTTTGTAGCATGATGTGCATTCACAATCTGAGAACATCGCACCTTGCTACTCTCGAGCAATATCTTATTGAATATTTATATTAATTCTTCAAATATACTGGCAATGATCGTGACAAACTAGTCTTCAAGAGTGACATTTTTAAACAGATATGACATGGATTCTTTATTATGCATTCTTCTTATTGCCTCTGACAATAATATGGATATATCAACGGTTTTGATCTTGTGACACTGCATCTTCTGCAGTTCATGAGGCACTGTGTTGGTCACCACAACCTGCAAATAAACGAATTATTTTTACACTATACAGGGTGCTTAAGAAAAACGATGCAATATATATAGGTACAAATTACATCCCAAAATAACAAATCAGTGCCTATAAGCATAGGCCCTAAAATGTCCCAATTCCAAAATACAGGGTGTTGAAATTTCTACGCCACTGACGAGACTTAATAAGGACAAAACATGATAATTGTTCGAATAACGCTATAATAATAATAAGCGTTTATTGCCCAACAGTTTAACACACATTTACAGAGCAAACTACTATAAAAAAAACAAATTACAAGTTCATGTATCAATAACAAAAAATAAATATAGCTACAGCTTAAAAATAAGAAACGTAAGATAAATCAAAAGTGAGCACGCAATTTGCAGTTCAATTCACCTATGCTATATAAGAATATGTCACATACATCGGCTATTTTATTCGCATTCACACACATCATGTTGACAGGCGCTTTCGACAATAACTTTTTTTGAGCTCTTTGACATAAAAAAGTCACATTATACCTTGATGTTAGTCTTGGTATCAGAAACTGTATTTGTGAAAGTATTGTATGGCAGTCTATTAGATTATGCAGTAATTTATATAAAACTATAACTGCTGATTTCTGACGCCGTTGTTCTAAGGACTGAATGCCAAATTTATGAAGAAGGATGTTGTATTCTGTACCTCTAGTAGGATATATGCCATCGATCTTAAGACATGAAAATTTTAAAAATTTCTTTTGAACAACAGCAATAAATCGGACTCCATATCAAAGATCCATATTCAAGCTTAGACCTAACCAAGCTAAAGTATAATGTCTGCAAAGTCAAAATGTCAAAAGATTTACAATTCCTGATAACGAAGCCATAGGTTCGGTAAGCGCTTGAAATGATTTGATTGATATGCTCATTAAAGGTTAGATGTTGATCAAAGTAGATACAGTTTCACTGCGCTCAAGAACATGTTCGATCATTGTATAATTATATACCAAGGGGTTGGTTTTCCTTGAAAAAGTTACTACTTTACACTTACTTATATTAAGATGAAGTTGATTCTTGGCACACCAGCTTTGCAATTTATTTATTTGACCTTGAACAAATGCACAGTCTTCCAAGCACGAAACGGATGAATAAAATTTTAGGTCGTCTGCGAACATTAACTTCGAACAAGCCAAAGATACACACAGATCATTCACAAACAATATGAACAACAGTGGTCCTAAATTCGAACCCTGTGGTACGCCACTGGTTGAGACATAAACATGTGATATGTAGCCATTATAAAAAACATACTGTTTCCTTTCAAACAGATATGATGTTAAGAGCGCTAAGTAAATGTTGTTGAAGCCCAGGTACTCAAGCTTTCGGAGCAAAATACTGTGGCTGACCCTATCGAAGGCCTTGGAGAAATCGGTGTACACCACATCTACCTGTCCTCTATTGTCTAATCTATCGCATAAGTATTGGCTAAATACAATTAAGTTTATTAATGTTGAACGCTGCCTTATACAACCATGTTGATCGATGGAAATATTATTTTTAGTGGACAGGTATGTATATGCGGTTGTACAGTACGATCTCCAAGAGTTTTGCAAAATTATTGCGTGTAGATATAGCCCTATATTCGCTGATACAGTGATATTTTTTTGACTTTGGAATTGGACAAACTTTGGCAATTTTCCATTTATCGGGGAACACAGTCGTCGTTGTTGTGCTTCATCAGAAAAGAGAATATTGCTCAAACTTGGAAAGCACTCTAACATTGTTTCGGCAAACGTACGGCGTAGATGGTGGTCCTGCGATTTCAATTCCTGCATTAGTTGAAGTTTATATATATATATATATAATAAATGAAAACCACTAGAGAAAGGCGTAAAAAAAGTCAAAGATGTGAACGTATAGCACTTTGTAATTCCTGAAATCCACAACAGAGGATATCACAAAAACTCACAATCCTATTCGCATTATTCCACATAAAGTTTATTGGTGCTTTAGATAGAAGATTTGTCTGCGCCCTCTTGCAGTAAAAGGAAACTTTAGATTTAGATGTCAATCTAGGTACCAGGAAATTAATTTGCGATAGCAAAACAGGACAGTCGATGTTACCATGCAGTGATTTGTATAAAAATATGATGGACGCCTGCTCTCTGCGCTTTTCCAAAGAAGGGATGCCAAATCTATTCAGTAATTGTGAGTAGTCACATCCTCTTGGAGGATAGACACCATCACTCCTATAGCATAGATATTTTAGAAATTTCTTCTGCACTTTTTTCACTTTATTTTTGTACAGTTTATAGATATGACTCCAAATAATTGCACCGTATTCTAATTTACTTATAACAAGCACTGAAAATAACTTAATAAGTGTTGTGTTATTGAAATTTCTACAATTTCTGATAATAAAGCCATATTTGCGATACGCATTACTTATAATTTCACTGATGTGGTAGTTAAAAGTGAGCTGACAATCGAAATAGACACCCAAATCCTTGAAAGCTTCACACCTTTCCAATACAGAATCATCTATTTTGTATGGGTAAAAATTTGGCTTTCCGGGTGAAGGTTAAAATGCGGCATTTAGAATTGTTCAAATACAAATTGTTATTAACACACCATGTTTGTAAAAAAACTAGTTGTTGTTGGAGGTTTTCACAATCCTGCCAGCTATAAACACATGCGTAAAAGATCGTTAACGTATAAGGCAAACAATAGGGGGCTCAAATTAGAACCCTGAGGTACACCATTACTTGGCATATATTTATAAGAACTAAGTCCATTATAGAATACATATTTTCTTAAGTCTAGATAAGACTTGAGAAGATCCACATAAGTTCTGTTGAATCCCATGTATTCAATTTTTTTTACAAGTAGTTGATAGTCAATTTTGTCAAACGCTTTTGTGAAATCAGTATATATGACATCCACTTGCCCCCTATTGTCTACCGTCTCGCATAGATATTGACCGAACGTGGCCAAATTCGTAATAGTGGATCTCTGCTTCATAAAGCCATGCTGATGCACTGACAGATGGTCTTTAGTTGCCAAGTAAATTCTGGAATACAATATTATTTCAACGAGCTTTGCAAAATTATTCAGTATAGTGATCGCCCTGTAATTATTTACTAAGGTTCTGTCTTGCGACTTGAAAATTGGGCAGACTTTGGCAACCTTCCACTTATCAGGAAAAACCGATGAACGTAGAATTGAATTAAAAATTGTCAACAAAGGAGTTGAGAAGAGCTTTACACAGTCTTTAATGAAAAACGATGAAAGTTGATCTGGCCCTGATGTAAATTTGTTTTTGAGTTTCTTTGCAGCATCTAATATCTCTTTTTCACTTATTGACTCGCATGTTATATTAATAAGAATATCATTGTTACAATTGTTGTACTCATCACTTGTAACACGATCACCCGGTGGAGAGTAAACACTCTGAAAAAAGTCAGCAAAAGCATTGACTATTGATACGGGGTCATTACAGGAGTTATTTTGGTAGATCATTTTATTAGGAATTCTAGATGTGTTACTCTTACTGTGCATGAATGACCAAAAAGATTTAGGTTCATTAATAAGCTGGCTTTGAAGTGTTTGAATGTAAGTTATATAAGCCTGCTTAATTTTTTGTTTAAATGTGGCTCTAAGCCTATTGAATTCCTGATAATATGCAATGTTATTCGTAGTCTTGAATCTTTTATATTTGGCCTTTTCTTTTACTAATGCAATCATTTCGCTGGAATACCATACAGGATACTTATGCTCGAATATTTTTGCAGAAGGAACATTTCTGTCAAGTATTGGAAATAAGTTGTAGAAAGTATCAACTGCTTGGTTAGGATCAATCGCAGTATCTAAGAAATCCCAGTTTGTGGATACTAGTTCCTCATAAAGCGTGTGGAAATTAGCTTTTCTGAAGTTATACCGCTTATGCTGAGTGTTGGTGGCAAATTTTTTCACCTCAAAATGAAATTGATTTATAGTTACAGATATAGCAGGATGATGGGGATCTTCATTTATAAGTGGGATTGGGTCTCGAGATACACTAAGACTCACATTACTTATTGCCAGGTCTAATAATTTACCGTAACTATTGCTAATAGTGTTAGTTAATACCAGACAAAGTGATCCAATTGTTGATTATGGAGGTTTTTCTATCCTCGTTCTTACCCTCAACTTAAGCCGCACAATTAAAGTCACCTATGACAATTAATTTTTTTGAATACAGATAGTACATATTCTCGACCCTTTAGAGGAAATTTCCAAAACAATCGATTGATACATGAGGTGGAATATAAATGAGTGCGACATATAAAATATAGCGTGATATACTGCACTTGCAAAGCAAAAAATCAATTTAAGGAAATTCGTCTTCAAATTCACTAGTATTCACAATTTCAGACTTGAGGTCAGCATCTATAGCCAATGACACTGCGCCACCTGCCGATAAACCGATCCGGTTGTCTTTTAGAAAGAGTAGAGAGAGTATAATGTTATCCTATAATACCCATACTGCAGACCTGGCTGGGGGGTGGTTTTTAAAGATATTTCTTTTTAAAAAAGGCGTTTCGAAATTTTTGCACCATAAATAAGTCAGATAATTGAGCCGGGACAACTTTGCCAGGTGCTAGCAAAATTATTTTACAAAAAACTTGAAAAAAAATTAAAAGTAATATTTTAAAAAGGACAGTTCATGTCTATAGAGCAATATACTCTCTAACTATGTAAGTGACAATGTCAGAAATGATATGTCCTTTTGAAAAAAATGCACTTTTAATTATAATTAATATCCTACTGAAATGTCAGGGCGACTCAAATATATTTTTTTGCAAAATAATTTTGCAAGCACCTGGTAAAGTTTAAGTCCCGACTAAATGATTTGTTATATTTATTTTAAATTCTTTAAATGTTAGATTTAATGGTATGAAAATTTTGAAATGCCACAAGGACTTTTTTTTCGAAAAAATGGCGTCCAAATATAAGGATTGCTTTAGCCCCGCTACCCCCAGCCA